TCTTTCAAAAAAATTGAATTTCCATTGGTAGTTAAACGGCCAAAGCAGTTTGTTTACAAACTAGTCGTTCCAGCTCCAGATTGAAATTGTATCTGGAGCTGGCTCCAGATTCGCCAATCTGGAGCTGCCAATCTGGAGCTGTCTGGCTCGTCATCTGTCTGGCTCCTCATCCCAGAGCCTCAGCAAGCTCCACAGAGGATTGCGGGCTCTGGTTTCGAGATTGACTGGTGCTTTGCAATGCATATGCAATCTCGTTGATATTTTGTGTTTTTATTTTTTTGTTAGGACGTGATGGCCGTGATGCAACGCTTATGGGTAAGATATAGGTTGTTTACCATTTACATGGAAATTCCGGTGATTCCATACGGAAAGTAAATGGAACAAGCATATTTTGAGGGCCCAACCAGAACTTTTCCGGAATGAACGGTTTGTTTGAAAAGGTTGTCCTCAGTCGTCTCTTACCGATTGGAACGTTTCCATTTGTGAATTTTGTTCCATTTACATATTTTCTATTTTTTTTCACCAGTTCCAGGCTCTTCACGCTTTAATTCAAACCGGATGGGTTTTCCATGTAAATGGTAAACAACCCTTCAGTGCCTTCCGGTCAGTCACTCTAAATGGAAAGCGCATAATCCGAATGAGATTTTCTCTGGATTTTCTACACGACATTTTGCTTACCATTAGCACAATTTCAAATTGGATGGGTTTTCCATGCAAATGGTAAACAACCATAATAATTGTTATAGGTATTATATGTTTCATATTTAAATAATAAACTGTAATTATAATCATAGTCAGTAAGTAATACGAGCTTTTATGCAATCTGAGTGGTTGACCTACGGCTACTCGCCGTATGTCAGCTGAAATCATTGAAATGAATAGAATTGGAACGCTACGTTCAGATAAACTGTTCATCTTATTCTTCAAATCTAATCTGACCCAGACACACGTGTTTATGCCTCACGTGTTTATGCCTTGCGTGTTTATGCTTCGCGATTCTTTCGCGTAAACAATTAGAAAAAAAAACAAAAAAGCGAACAGGAAGTTTCACCTAAACAAATGCACTGATTAATAGAAAGCTTTGGGCGCTGTTAAAAAGCCTTATTTGTAAATTTTAATCCGGTTTTCAAAAATACATATTCATGTTGACGGATTGACCGCGCTCTTTGCATGCGTGAAAAGATTGGGACTCGGCCTTCGAGTTTCGCTTCAAATCTCCGGTTGGAGGTAGCGTTCCAGTTATTTTCATTTCACCGGCTCAAAATCAGCGAGTCGCTACTCGCTGATTTTGAATAACAAAATGGTATTATATTGGTAGCACAACCACAACCTGTGATTTTTGTGAATCAAAAACGAGCAAAATGTTTGGAAAACGCTAAAAGTTTTGAAAATTACAAGCCCCGAAAGTGCATTTCCAGCTCTTTCCCACAATAAGATATATTTCTGTGAAACACATGATTAACTGGAGAATTATTGATAATTCTTGTGATAATTATCGTATTGTAAAAGAACAATTACACAAATATGCAACGGTCAAGTCGACCGTTACTCTTCTCTGAAAATCACGTCAGCACGCTTAAAACTGCGACACTATGGAAGAAAAACACTTTCAAAACCAATATCTTTCATCTTTCAGAGCTGATAATATTGGTTAAGCCAATGACAGTGTCACGTAAAAAACGTGAAATATATTTCAACCTTGCATGCAATGATAGTATAGCCAGCTGAACATGCACGGCTATTAGTATTTATTATAGTACTAGTGTACCAATTTCCCAAACCAAGCACGAAAGAGCATATGCTTCAGTATCAAAACAATATTGCCCCCTCTCCCTCGCTTGCGCGGTCCCTGCAAGTTGCGACAAGGTCACACCGATGTGGCTGACCAAACTAGCTGAGAAGAGTGTATTATTGTTGCAATGAAATAAATGGTTTCTGTAAGACTATATCATAGAACAATTTTACCATCCGCTTTTGTCGTATATGGCTGACAGACGACTCAGTGCGCGTATTTTGAATCGCTGCTACTGACTCAGTACTACGCCTCTCGTTAGCTACCAATCAGCTTGAACTCATTGTTATATATTTGAAATGTTAATTGCTAACTATATATTCTGTCATCAAGAATATATTTCACTTCCTCAGGTCCGCCAGGAAAGCGAGGTGAACGTGGACCAACAGGAACACCAGGGGTAAAAGGAGACTCAGGCGGTGTGGTGTACACTCGGTGGGGAAGAAGTGACTGTCCGCAATCTAGCAATACAACCATATTGTATTCAGGTAACTGGTTTTCAAATACTTACTAAAGGAAATGTATCGTGTATATTGTCACATATCTTCATTTCAAGCACTGTTCACACGTGATACAGACTGCTCTGCGAGTATATAGCTTTCGTTAAATATGTAGCGCAGGATTGTGTAGAACTTAGGCTATTACATTTGTGATAAAGCAATTAAAAGTAATGTAAAATTATAGCCTATAACGTTCATGAGTTTTTTTTAGGAATATATTCTCTTGTACGCATATAGTCGGAGACCGGACTGACAAGTTATATTTCAGACATTTTCATTACTATGCTTGTGATGTCACTCTGAGTGTATATCCACACCATGCAAGCTTGAAAAATATGCCTGGCCACGGTGGGAATCGAACCAACGACCTTTGGAATACTAGCCCAATGCTCTGCCGACTGAGCTACGCGGTCAGGTCGGTTCGAGTGTGTGATATTTCGGAACAAAATCTAGTTCCTTCGATATCAATGTAATCTATAGTAATACTTTTTTCTGTGTTGGTGCAATGTACTCAGGTGAATATGATGCTTGTGATGTTACTCTGAGTGTATATCCACAGCGAGCAAGCTTGAAAAATATGCCTGGTCACCGCGGTGGGAATCGATCTACAACCTTTGGAATACTAGCCCAATGCTCTGCCAACTGAGCTACGCGGTCAGGTCGGTTCGAGTATGTGACATGTATATCACATACTCGAACCGACCTGACCGCGTAGCTCAGTTGGCAGAGCATTGGGCTAGTATTCCATGGGTCGTAGGTTCGATTCCCACCGTGGCCAGACATATTATTCAAGCTTGCCCGGTATGGATATACACTCAGAGTAACATCACAAGCATGATATTCACCTCAGTACATTGCACCAACACAGAAAAAACGTTTTTATTACTGTTATCATTTTTAACATAAAAAACAACAGCCAAAAAGCATATTGTATCGAATTCTTATGATAAATATCAGAGCCCAACATATAACTTATAACAAAGCCATTAAAACAGTTAAGATTTTAAAGAATTTTTATTGTAACGTTTCGTCTTTAATTTAAGACATCTTCAGACTAGCTAGATAAAATTACATGAGATTTGAATATATATAAACTAATTATAATCTATTTACAATTAGGTGTTATGTTACTAAGGATAATAAAGGATAAGAGGGTGTATGTATGACAGGACGATACAAATGAGGAAACAAAACAGACACAAGACAACGGCAAATTACAGAAGGTTAAGCGGAATAGAGCTGCCCTGGACGTTAAGAGAGGGCTTGAGTTTAGATATGAGAAGGCTTTCGTGAATCAATAAAGGAATTTGAAGTCGTCAAAGTTGGCAGAGTGACCTGTAGTATTTAAGTGAGAGAAAATACTAGACATGACTGGACTGGATGACGGCTGTCCTGTTATAGGAGTGAGTCCCAGGTGTTCCGATACTCTTGCTCAGACACTTGTGAATTATTGATTCACAAAAGCCTTCTTATATCTAAGCTCAAACCCTCTCTTAACGTCCAGGGCAAGCTCTATTCCGCTTAACCTTCTGTAATTTGCCGTTGTCTTGTGTCTGTTTTGTTTCCTCATTTGTATCGTCCTGTCATACATACACCCTCTTATCCTTTATTATCCTTAGTAACATAACACCTTGTAAATAAATTATAACTAACTTATATATATTCAAATCTCATGTAATTTTATCTAGCTAGTCTGAAGATGTCTTAAATTAAAGACGAAACGTCACAATAAAAATTCTTTAAAATCTTAACTGTTTTAATGGCTTTGTTAAAAGTTATATGTTGGGCTCTCATATTTATCATAAGAATTCGTTTTCCGCCTGGCAAATCTCTGGCAACGATATTGTATCCAGGTAATTGGCAGGGCCGCCGAGAGGGGGGGGGGGGGAAATTGCCCCGATCCCCGAGGTGCCGGGGGTCCCTGGAAAATTTTTGTTGGGCCCCAGTCTTTTTTGTGTGTTAAATATTTCTGTGCAAAGGACAAGTTATCTGTTTTCTTGGGCTAAGTACCGAAATTTGAATATCTTAAGTTTTGTTTTTTATGTTTTAATCAAAATTGAATATCTTAAGTTCCGTTTTTATGCATACTTCTACACTGAAACTGCCGACTTTCAATCCTGAATTATTATCATCGATGTTTAGGTGTAATGGGTGGATCATGGTATCAACATACTGGTGGTGGTTCAAACTATCTCTGCCTACCATTGAATCCAATATTTGACAAAATCACTTCTGGTAGTCAGGGATACAGCTATATGCACGGTACTGAGTACGAAACATCTAGTCATCCTAACATATTTCCCAAAAACGTCCATGACCATGATGCACCTTGTGCAGTCTGCTACACCGAGTCACGTGGTAGTCACCTGATGATTCCAGCTCGTAATGTCTGTCCCTCAGGTTGGACCTTGGAGTATAAAGGTTATCTCATGTCAGCATATCATGGTCACAAAGGAAGAACCCAGTTTATTTGTGTTGACGGGAACGCTGAAGGTACAACTGGATCTCACAGTAGTCAAGATGGTGCACTACTGTATTTTGTTGAAAGTTCCTGTGGTTCTCTTCCTTGTCCACCATACGCCAATGGTAAAGAACTGACCTGTGTTGTTTGCACAAAATAGTTCGATTGATCTCAGTGTATTCTACTGTTTTTTAACAAAATTTTTACCTTAATCCTTTAGTATAATGCTGTTATTTTATGTAATCGAACATTTCATTCGAAACTGAATGTAATTGCAGACTTTTATAAATAGAATTGCGTTGCTTTTGGACACGATGTTGTGATCTGCACATTCATATTACACCTTACAAGCCTGGTTCACACTACCAATTTCGTCGGCGATTTTTCTCCACCTGGCAAATGTGATCGAATGACATGCAAGCGACTGGATACTTTTATGTTCGAGTTCACTCATTTGCATCCGTCAGAAACACGCCGATAAAATTGCTAGTGTGAACCAGGCTTTTAAAACGGAAACGACCTAGTTTTTACAAAACCATAGATTTGGTACTATATCATTTAAAAAAAGCTGGAATTCCAGCGCTTATTAACCACCATTCATAGAGATTAACATAGGCAATTCAAATCCTGCACTCTGATGATGGGGGGGGGGAGTTGCTCCCCTTCCCCCTAGGTGGCGTTCATTGCTCCTCTCCTCCCTCCCTGCGTGGTTAATATTGAGCTCGGCGGGTTGTTGCACGAAACTTGACCAATCAGGGTACCTCATGAAGTGGTATTTTTCAGCGAATACAATCCTGGGACAAAGTTTCTTGGAGTCTATTTCCCGGGCAAGGTATTATAGCCTTCCTTACGTTCGACGTTTGGAAAATTTTGCTTACATGAAGTACGGTACTGCTCGTAACTTTGTTTCGTGAATGGCGGGAAAATTTATAATAACAGGAAAACAATTTTATGTCGTTTATGTTTATATTCTCGTCTGAAATTTTGATATGGATAAAGAAAAGGTAAGTGATTGCTAATACAGTATTTACATGATTTTAGCTGCAGTATCTTGACGTATAAAACTAATAAAAGCGCCCTTTATAGTGGTCATGGCAGAACATATATTATATAGACTGTATATATTAACTACCATCTTTTTTAATGCGTGTTCGTTGAACACTAACTTACTAACAATTATATAACTATATAAATGAATGTTCAGATGGCTTAGAGCTTGGGAATTTAATATGTTATTCACTGCTGTGATTATAAAATAAAATAAAATTGATTTGTCATTTGAATATTGGAAATTGAATTGGTCATTCGATATCTATTGTGGAATCCAAAATTGTGGAATGAGTTACAGTATGTGACTTTATAGGGCCTGTTTATTTGGAAGCCGGGCTGGCTCGCTTAGCCCGGTAAGCGGGATGAATTTCTCTTGTGTTTATAGGAGAAAATTTCATCCCGCTTGCCGGGACAATTTTGTTATTTTGATTTGTTTTGACAATTTTGAACTTTCATCCCGGCAACCAGGCTAGTCCGTTAGCGAGTGTTTATATGGAGAAATTTTCATCCTAGTAAGCGAGATGTTGCCTCTTTCAAGCGAGATCTCGGCAACCGAGATCTCGGCAACCGGGTCAGCCCGCTTGTGCATATAAACACACAATAATTTTTACTATAAAAATAACTACACAGCGAGATCTGGCTTACCAGGCTGTCTCGCATAGTGGGCCAGCCCTGCTTCCATACAAACAGGCCCTAAATATATGTTGTATGGCTTGAATTTAATTGCCAGCAAAATTTAACAAGATTTCAATACACTTTTTAAATAAAGATGATAATCATTATGTCACCGTGATCACAGGCGATAATTATTATGTACAGATTTTAACTTCCGCTACCATTTCCATTAACCAATCAGATGCTTTTATGCTACTTTTTTATGCCAATCAAATGCGTATTAAGCATATGAGAGGTAGCGGGAGTCAAATCTGAACCTCTCTATTACATAGCTGCCAAGGTGGAGTGATCTGCATGTGTGAGACACCATCCACTTACGCAATCTATGTGGGCCCGGCCCCCCTCCCCCGGAAAATTTTAAAAATTTGAGATATGGAATTTGCAGCATTTCATTCCCAAGACACAATTTATTCACGATTGCTGGCACCTTGGACGCTGTAATCAGATGGCATTTATGCACCGGAAATAGGCTCAATTTTAGGCATCAAATGAGGTGTTGACAACAAATTCACACTGATAATAAACACTTACCCACTCTACTGTATTCATCAGATTAATTTACCAACTAATTTCATAGTGTAAAATAGAAAAACTAAACATTAAAACATTTCACAGGTTTCCAAAGTTTACAATGCTCTCCAGATTTATGTTTTTTTATTAAACTCTTCAGTCACAAGCGGCCAAAGCAGCTCATGCGTGAGATAAATAATACTGCGCGTGTGAGTGTGAGAAAATATGCTGATTGCTGAGGCATGTGTCACACGCCTAATGCGCGAGACTTGGTAGGTATGCTATTATATCCTAAAAGATGATAATTATAACATCTCCTTCCTTGGCCTGGAAGCCTTGTTTTCATGAGAGCGAGGCTCCCAGGCCAGCGAGGCTCCCAGACATTCATGACGTAATTATCGAAATGGTGTATTGATGTACAAACCATGCACCCTTTGGGTCATGGCACAGCGTTTGAATACTGTTTAAGGTTTGCTGTGAAACATTTGCAAAGCCCCCCCCCAGGATTTTTTCCAGACATGTTTGAGGAGGAGGGCTTAGTAGTCAACAGCAACTTGATATGTGCATGCAATGTAACATTCTGTAAATATCATTGTACATATAAATTATAAGAGTATGACTCACCAATTTTTCCCCTTGTTACAATAAGCAATTCCAGCTTTTAGTTTATGTATGCAGGGGGGATGGGGAGTAAGGTGTCATATTGCTGATTATGTTGAAAAAATAAAAATGGCGGCTGTGTAAACACGGAGTGATAGGGAAAAAAAAAATATGTGGGTTTCCGGTTTCCCGACCCTACCTAGCTTTTGGACATCGAAATCCCGACCCTAAACTTTTTTATTGGATCATGCTTGTAAGTGTTTCCACTTAGAGGAAAAAGTTTGTGGAAAATTGAAATTTGAGGCAATATTAGGGAAATTTATCTTTGGATGTGGAAGCACTGACTAAACAAAATGGCGTCTGCTTGTTCGGAAAATTAAAAAAAGTTTAAAAAAAAAGTTAAAACCGACCTACCCTACCTACGTTTTTATAAGAAGAAACCGGAAACCCACATATTTTTTTTTGCCTAGCTTATATTTAAATTGTTCCGCATAATCAGCAATATGATACCTTACTTCCCATCACCCCCTGCAGGCATAAATTAAAAGCTGGAATTGCCTATACTACAAAGCTGTTTTTAAAATCATTGCTTTAAAGGGGATGGAGGTGTTGACACAAAGATGAATGATTATATATTGCCTATTTCAATTTTATAGAATAACTTTATTACCAAGTTAGACCTTCAGCAACATATAAAAATGTAATAACAAACAAATTTGTTTGTTATTTAAGTCAAATTATGACTTTCATCCATCATTTAATCTTTTTCAAGAAGAGGTGAAAAAATCTCTGGGGAAGTGCAATTCGACCCCGGAGGAGATGCTTACCTCCCCACAAAATCTGGCCATGATCTAGCATATATGCCAGCAGTGGCGGACATTCTACAAAAATATTGGTGGGATGAATTGGGTTGCAACCACGACTTGTTGCCCAAAATCTTGGTTCTTTAACCCATTAAGCGATAGCGCTCTCTCCTTGACGAGTAAAATCGTCTGGCGTTAGACATAGTAAAATAATGCTACTCAAAGGATTAACCCATTGAGTAGCAGTACTCTCCCCTTGACAAATAAAGTCATCTGGCATTAGACATGAACATAAATAGGGTGTATCAGGGCCTATTGCCACTTATGCCTTAAATGGTTAACAGAATGCATGTATGATTAACCCAATAACCTAAATGGGTCTCATTAACCCATTTAAGGGCAGCACCCTCCCCATGAAGAATAAAATTGTCTGGTGTTGGACTGAGTAAAATAATAAAGTAGGGTGCATCAGGGATTCAGGATGCATTGTCACTTAAATTAGAGTTACATTTTTTGCCTTAAATTTCATGTAATCTATATATAGCTCAATGTATGACTACATACCAATACCTTTATGGTTGTTACACAGTTATTCAGCCATCATTCGAAGTCTTTCAGAAATTAATTGGGGGGAAATTATTCCCTTGCCCTGAGGTCTTTATCTCAAAGCCCAAAATATTTTATTTATATCCGGCTTGTTCTAAGGCGGCGACTTATTTTTTACACGCCCATTTTACGAAATACTCCGAATATTTACATAAACCTTGCATTTTGTATCTTCTTTTCAATATCTCATATCTATGTGCAGCGTTCCAGCCAACCGAGCTCGACAGCTGGATTCTGTGACCGGATTCCTGCCAGAGGGCGTATAGTTGCATTTTTTGCAACTGCTCCTGGTTGGGTATAAAATTCACACTCGACATTTCCATCTACAAGACCCTTCAACACTTAATTTAAAGCCGGTTGCAGATGAGCTTTGCTAGTTTTGACACGTTTTGCTTTGGCAAATACTGTACACTTGTTGAACAATTGTACTTGAACAATTGTACTTGCCAGACAAAAATTTGGCGAAGTTTTTCTTGTATATGTATGGGTCAACAAAGAAAATTTCACAAATAGAGATTAGTTAATGGTTGGTGAGCGCGTACGGTTTTTATTCACGAGTGGATTATTACAAGTGAACGTGTGAGCGCAGCGAACGAGTAAACTTGTAATAATTCACGAGTGAATAAAAATCGTATTCGCGAACCAACCATGATGTTATTTGAACGTATTTTCCAGTACGATCATTTTTCACTAGTGAAAAAACATCGTTTGTCCAATCAGACGGCGCGAACGACGTTGTTTCACTAGTGAAATTTCATCGTTCGCGTCGCTGATTGGCTGTGGCAAAATTCCGTACGATTATTACGCAATGCCATTTTAATGAATAAATCTCAGTACTTATATAATAAAATACTTTATTAAGCACTTGTGTGCGGTTAGTCCGCGATCTACTGTATTATTGTTGTACAACTATCATTGCTGGCACAAAACTTGTCATGGAAAATTTGTTTGCATAAACACGTGCACTTAAGCCTGGTTTCCATATGGTCGTAAAGGTCGTAACGATTGAATCACGATCTTTCTCATCAGCCGAACTACAACATTTTACAACTGAAAACACGCGGAGTGATTATAAATAGAGAATACTTATGATTTTAGCTATATGTGGTGTACAACTATACACTGTTTTAAACTGGCCGTTGAGAAAGATCGTGACTCTATTTTTACGACCATATGGAAATCAGGCTTTAGCAAATAAAACGTTTCTCATGAAAACTTGCTCCGGCGTCTGTGACAAGCTTAAATCAGACTAAAAGCATATAACTCTAACGAATTTTCACTTACTCTTATGTAGATTCATCTTTTGCTTTCTCTTTATTGGGACATCTGCTAGCTCTGTGACTGTATATGACAAATGATAATCCAACCAACAATCCAGAGTTTTTGAATCACAACTGTAAAGCGACAAAAAGCGAGATTATATTTATAGTGACGTTATGTGTCCAGTTCCCGTTTCGATTGCTGAAATCTTTTACTCAGTTCTTCCAATTTTTATTCCATCATGATATAATCCCTTCAGGCTTGCTGAAACTACTTTCGGTACAAAAATATGACTTAAAAAGCGCAAGAGCAAGCCTTGGAGCGACTCCACTGGTCTTCCTTGAAGAATTGTGAATAACAAATCGTGTATTCTTTTGAAATTCCATGCTTTTTAAAAAAGTTGCATAATTTGTTATTCTATTGCACGCTACATTGGTTTCTTGCTGTTATTATGCATAAACAAGTGCATATAAAACAATAAAATTGCCCAAAATTAGTCATCCCACTGAAATCATTGTCAATCATGTATTAATTACCACAAATGCTCGAACCTCGGCTTTTATCTAATACAGCCTTCGGGTTGCGCCCAGCCGCCCATATACAGGGTGTATAAAAAAATATAACTTTGACATGTTATCGTGCATTAATTAATTAATACGTCAATACGTTTTCTTTTTCGTATTTATAAAGTCAGGCCTTTAGCTGTCAAATGCATGACACCTTTATGCAATGACTGCGATAAAAAATGACCCAATGCGATCTGATTTAAAATTATCGGCTTCTTGCAATTTTCGAACATTTGCCCAAAAGTTTGTTGGCCATTTGGAAAACGTATTGTGAGTCCAGTCTGCAAACTTTCAATGTTGTAAAATGTTTTAGCCACTTTACACATGCGTTGCACCATATTTTCTCAAGGGACTTCAATTTCAATCCCAAATGAGAATAATTTCAATACTCAGACAATAGCTTTACATGCAATTCCCAATTTAATCGCAATGATTTCACATGCTTATATTTTATGTTTCTGGTCTTTGAATCATACCATGTAGTTGAAACTGGCAACATAAAATATATTCGTGTTAACTTGTTTACTTGTTGATATTTTTGGAAAATAGTGGGGGTGGATGGCAAACCTCTCCCCCTAATATCCGCCACTGTTATACTTATCTCACCTTGCAAACCGGCAAGGAACGAGTGCAGTATATATTAAATGTGTAGAATGTGAGTATAAGAACAGGATCCTAAAGCCTGGTTTTCATATGGTCGTAATGGTCGTAATAATATAGAGTCACGATCTTTCTCAACGGCCAGTTTATAATAGTTTATACATGTAAACCACATATAAATCATAAGTATATTCTCTAGTTATAATCACTCCGCGTGTTTTCAGCGGTCCTAAAATGTTGTATTTCGTCTGATGAGAAAGATCGTGTCTCAATCTTTACGACCGTTACGACCATATGCAAACCAGGATTTAAGCCGAAGAATATGCCTAGTCAACTTATATAACTTGAAATATTTTCTATTGCTAGGAAATTTTACAAAAATTAGAACAACTACGAGTGGAGCAGCTTAAGGCGCTGAAAGAACTGAAAGTAAGTCATTACGATTCATAAAAAGTCATTTATAACATAACCACAGCTGGAACACTAAAGGAACATTCGGCCGGAAATGATCTGCGTTTATTAAACCATATATGGTGATATGTTGTATTTCGTGGTGCGGAGATTCTCAAACGTGGGAGAGGCAGTACCCCAGAAATGGCGGAAAAATCGGCCGTGAGAAAGGCTATGTAAATTCGTTGCAATACTACAATTTCACAAAAAGGCAAATAAATTAATTTACCTACTGTATAAGTAAATTAGTTACAACTGCGGCAAAAACAGGATAAGTTCCCAAATGATATATAGTTCCCAAATGGTTTATTCAAATGCACCTATACACGGTGAAGATTTTTAGGTGTTTCTAGAACGATATTTCCTAGTTCGCCCAAGCCTTTAGGCCCAGTTAACGCTTGTAAGGAGGTATTTTGACGCGTTTAGAGCGCCGAACTGATAACATTGTACATTTTCCATTACGCTATTATGTAAAAATTATTTTCTAACATAAATACGTCTTCACAAAAACAGATCAATTGTAAAGGACTTTAAATAATTTACTTTTTAGAAAGTAGAGAAAGCAAAGAAGAAACAGCGGCGTCGCACGGCCCATGGTTGTCCTTCTTTTATCAACATTGGGGGCAACCAGAATAGCACAACTACTGATAAAAATGCTAGAACTCCAGCACAAGACAAGAGTCATGTCATGGGACGTACCTCTTCAAAAAGTTGCAGTAGGATTGATGGGGCAAGAATGAAGGCAAAGTTTACACCGAATTTAAAGGGAGAACAAGAAAGTGAAATCAACGAAATTGCTTTTGCTTTATCAAGCTCGAACAAAGACAAGTCTTCTTCAATAAAAAATGCAGCTCGGGTGAACAAACCAGAGGAGAACAGTATAGAAGTAGAGCCGCACAAGACAGAAGGCGTTGCGCAAAAGGAGGTATTAGCGACAAGGAATATTCGTTTATCTAAAGAGAACAGATTCAATGCCAACGAAGTAGTTTCGAAACCAACGATATCGTTAGATATGACACCAAAAACAAGCTTATTTGCTGAAGAAAAACCAGAGAATTACAAAAAAGGAACAATTATTCAAAAAGAGGTATCTTCCACAGGAAGTAATGGTTTATCTAAAGATAACAGTAAAACAGTTTCCAAACCAGGGATAACACTAAATCTGACACCAAAAAGCAGGTTATTCGGCGAGAAGGAGACAGAGAATAGGCCTGCGCGTATTCCACAGCAGAAAAATGTAGGAAGATTAACTAAACCTCTCAAATTTTCCAGAAAAGCACGCAGTTCCCTTAAATTTCCACCTGCCAGTACTGGTTGGCGAAAATCGGAAATTCCGAACACTGTTTTTGTTTCTGGTAAACGGCAATCTTTCGGAAAGATAAAGCAAATAGAAGATATTGCAGAAACTGCATTGGGAGAAAATTCTGTACTTTATGAAAATTTTTGCGAGGCTAAAGAGAGCGAAAACAATACAGACACGAAACATGCCGAGTGCAAACTTCAGGATTGTGGCCCTAATAAACGTACTTCAACGAACACGACACGATCTCAAGCTAACGATAATAGAGTTGAAAGTGGAGAACAAGAACCTTCCAAGCCAGGTTCCAAGCCTTTAAATGAAAAATTACTTTCCACCCATAGAAATGAAAAATTACTTTCCACCCAGTCAACTGTTTCCACGCATTGTCAACAGTTTCATAATTTTTCACAGAACATATTTAGCCAAAGTTTATTCGATGATGTCCTCGGGGATCAAAGTTCCACGGATGATTTGCCAGATATTTGTGAACCATCAACAACTAAGATGGGAAATACTCAAACAAATACTTGCGAAGTTGGAGTAGCAATAGCACCCATAAATAACAAGCGTGGACAAATTTGCAATGGCAAAGACGAGAAGCAAAACTATGCGCTGACAACTAATGGAAAGATGAAACCAAATTTGATAACTTCATCCAAATTGAAAAGATCAGCGTGTAACTCTTCAGGTCGTAGATCTATTGCTACAGAGATATTACCAAGAAACGCCATGCAGTTGGAAGAAGATAGCAAGGAGATAGGAAAGGAAGCAGATCATAATTTATATTCTAAGACTGATACATCAGATATATCACCAGGCAATACCGTGCAAGAGGATGATCCAAAAGAAAGGAAGACGATGAATTCCAACATTCCAACAGGTGTTTCTGAGATTAGAAAGTTATCCTCAAATTTACCATCCAGCAGTTTACCACAGATGGTTAATATAGGAGACAAAGTAGAGGATGTGAAATTGTCGACCAACGTATTAGAAGACGCGCCCTTTCAGCCAGTAGAAAATGCAATGCCTACGATATCGTCATCAAAGAAAATAACCTCGGCGAAGGTTGCTCAACCAGCAACTGGCAATAATCAAGTGAGCGACATGGGTGATGATTGTAATTCACGTTTTTTACTTAAAGAGACCGACAGACAATTGGAAAGGCAAGAAAACAAGTCTTCTCAGTCCATAAATGATAACATGGCTGCTGAGTACAATAAAGTTTTAGAGCATGAAGGTGCTTTACTCGAACAGCAAACTGAAAGACTACAGCCTGAATTTGTTGAAGACATGTTAACTGATTTTCCCCAAATTGACGACATTTTCGCCAACGAACTAGGAGTATTTGATACCAGACCAGAGTCCAAAACAGCATCAGTAGAAAGTAAAGACAGAAAACAAACAAACACCGTATCTCGGGAATTAAAGAACCTTCAATTCATAAAGGATAAGAACAGCTTTAATTTTGATGAGCTTTTGTTGTCGCAGCCTTCCTCACCTTTTCCACAAAATGTCCCCTTTGAAGGTCATTCTAGCGAGGGGGTTACTCTTATAGAGCGTGAGATATGTTTACAGGTAAGCAATCACAACATCTTATCCCTAAGTGGCATTTAATAATCAGACCAAAGGCTTCATCTTATGGGAAAGAATGGTATTATAGAGTTTCTATATCGAGTTTTAATTCAAATGGTTGGCATTTTCGATCATTTATGTGATTACTCGTCTATTGAACTGTCCTATTTTGCTAATAACTCTGGCTTTCACACTTTGAAGAAAATTGAAGATACTAGTACGTTGTAAGCCAATGAAGTGAATCAATCTGGAAAATTTCGTCTGCTATTTACTTTCGACTTCGCAGTTGAAAATTATTTCCGCCTGGCATTTCTCAAATATCGCCTGCTCGTTGTCAGACCACCAATTATTTTACGCCTTGGGTAATATTCATTTTTTTGTGATTTTGTTCTATAGCATTCATTAAATTCACTTGGGAGTTGTAATGAAGTTCGGCAAATCAAATTTCTATCACATCAAGCTGATGAAACTAAATTGGATATGATAGCCGTATGTTTGTCCAGGTTGCTGGTATTGTGGAGGGCGGCGAATAGCCGCCCTTCATGGGTTGTTATGCATAAATGGATACTTGGAGAGGTAACAAGTGCAGCTCTTATAAATAATACATAGTATAATCCAGGGATGGATTTACTTAGGGGGTGCAGATCCGTGCGCGCCTCTCCTCTCCTCTCCTTGGCAAATGAGAGCCTGCACTGATGGCATACATATCTGCCCCGTAACGTTCGTTTTTGCAAATATGGAATGTCTATCCTTATACGGTGTTGTTTACAACTTTCGTGCAAACTAAATTTAGACCGTGCAAACTAAATTTAGACCGTACAGTTTATACTGTTTTTCAAAATATAAGATATTCAAGCAAAAGTATAAATGTTTTAAATACTGTTTTCTCAAAACAGAACATTTCGTGCTTTGAGATAAGATGGCCAAGCATCTGACCAATGAGAATTTCGCGTCCAGATTCGAGACGCAGATATTCATAATTGTATGCCATCAGTACAGGCTCTCATTTCACCTTGAGAGCCTGCAGGCTCTCAGGCTATGGCAAAGAGGGTGCAAGGTGCCAATTTCTTTACCAAATCCATTTCTGGAATTGGAAAGGCAATTACAAAATCAGAAGAGACAAAATGAGATATTAAGCAAGACTACAGATTAGTGCCTTGCTGTCGTAGCTCCTCTAGTGATTTATAAGTACTTGGTCACGGTCTCATCTGAACCATGACCATTGACCAAAGCTCGATGAGTACTCCATCTAGCAGATCTGGATCTAGCAGATCTGCATCAATCCTCGTTATAATCGTAATAGCATACTAAACAAATAATAAAGGGCACTAAGATGTTGTTATCAAGAGTTTTTTCATTGTATATAGGATGAAGAAATTGTTGATATCGAAGTCGCTTCAGTAGGATCGTGTATTGTTCTAGTAATCGGAGGGAATTTTCATAAAGCGTTAGGAAGGTGCAGAATATTTATTTATGATTGTGATGTAAATGTAAATCCTCGTCTACTGTATCACTGGATTCTCAGAAGTTGGGGAAATTAATATAATGTGCAAGAGTCGTTTGAAAAAGCATCTATACCCTTGTTGACCAATTACGAATCTCAATGCCACCACGTACCTGTCTGATATTTTACGATTTCGGACAGGCGCCTAACGGACAGAAGATTACCGCTGCTTTTCGATGCTTATCGCACTTTTACAAGTTTTGTAACAAGGGAAAGGCGAACTCACAAGGATTTGGAACATAAAAATCGTGGAGATTTTGCCTTCGAAATTCAATTTTAAACAACAGTTCATGAGGACAGATGTAACCAAATCAAGCTCTCGACCAAAATGTTGTTAGATATAGATTATATTATATAATACCTTATTAAATTCTAATCGTTTAATTGGCTGTTTATGGTCACGTGATATTGAATAGAAAATTCCATTTCCCAAGAGTGCAATGGAACACGTTCCATTGCACTCTCCGCGAGTGCAATGGAATAAAACGTATAGTACAATTGCACTCTTTGTGTTTTCGATAAATCGCATCCCTCAAAATGCTTATCATACGAATCTATTAGTCTGTTCTGGACTTTTGGTATTATATAAAACAAATGAATGTTTCTTCGTGCAATGGTAAGAATATTTTCACTCGGTGAAAGATGGAAAGTTCCATTCAACTCGGCTGTCGCCTCGTTGAATGGAACATTCCATCTTTCACCTCATGAAAATATTCTTACCATTGCACTCATAAACATTCATTATTTGTATAATATAAAACTTTCTGTCAATATTAAATTATTCGTGTTTCGTCCCTCTGTTATTAGTTGACTGGACGTAGTATTGTCTCTATGCAGGACTTAGTTTCTTTAGTGAACGTTTCTTTTTTGTTTAGAGTCTATTGTGTTCATGATAAGAGTGATTGTAAATTTGACATTTATGAAGAAGTATCGTTTTCAGACTTAGGGTAAGTATTAGTTATTTGGTATAAGTATTAGTTATTTGGAGTGTATGTGGGCTTCTTATTTCTATTTTGTAGAAATATTTTATGTATTGTTTGTCTGTCTGTTGGTAACTGAAAAATTATCAGGCAGTTTAATACAAAATTTTTGGAACTAATGGCCATATGACCATCTATCAAATTTTGATTTAATTTGGATGGGTTTATCTTCTGGGCTGAGATGATACATAGCCTCTGAGTGCCGCCTATTGTTAGTACAAATTGTAATGTATTTTTTTATGGTTTCTTTAACAGGATTATCAAGGTTCATGGAAATTTTAAAACACTTTAAATTCAAATTTTAGAGAGACTGTGTATGGTTACCAGGATATGTGTTTACTTAAGAACAAAGATTCAATTGAAAATGTTAGTATCATCATGGCCAGTGCCTGTGGAGGGAAAATTGTTTTGACCAAATGGACGATAGATCTGATATGCTTGTAAGTACTGTACTTTATTTAATATACCAATTATAACCATGATATAAATTAACCATTTTAAATATATAAAAGACCAGTACAAATGAGTATGTAATGAAATTATCATGCATGCATGTATGTAAGTTTTGTTGGTCCAAACATAAAGTACAAAAAGTTTTCGAATCATTTGAATTATCTCTAATGGGTAAAACAAAATAGATATTGGACTGGTTTATCCCCTCAGTAACACAGGAAATCAGCTATCATGATGTCATTTGAAAAAATGATAACCACCCATTTACAGTATATAATTATAGCTAAGTTCTTACTATACAATTCTTCTCGTTTTGGTTTGGAATCAGATAATTATAAACGCGGTTTCTCGTATATACTAATCAAATCATTAATATTTCATAAGGAGAATTTACAATTATTAAGGAATGAATCTGTAATCAATGTCTGTAAATGAAACAAATACAATGTCTGTTTAAATGAGACAATGATGATATCAAATACAATAGTTACAAAATGGTCGATAAATATGAACAGTTCTATATCTATATATATGTGTTTGATAAGTATACATACTTTAAAAAGCAGACTCGTGTTTGTATGTCTCATATACAAGGCGGCTACTCATATTTTATCAATAACTTGTATATTTATGCCATGAATTTCTGACGATTTGCCTTTGCATGCACGTTCCTATAGCTGTTTGGAGGATTGCAAAGATTTACCAGACGTTATTGGCAGTGAGATGTCTTCTCTTTGTCTTGTTCAAGGAAGCAAGTGTCTGCTTCTTGGCTGCGTTGACTCTGATGTTTATCTTTGGTGAGGATTGTTAAACTTGTTAAAAATTTTATTAAATGAGCTGATAATCTTCACTTATTATGTAATAATAAATCTAACTGTATAACTATAGCAGTAAGAGAAAAGTAAATTCCTATTTCATATTTATAAGAAGTAATAAAACTACAAGGTTAAATATTTTCAACTGGATATTTTCAAGTGATTTTATGCAGGTAAATTTCGTGGCAGAATATTTTGTGATTACATGAAGGGCGATATCGATATTGACATCATGTGTTGATCATTTTTGGAGCAAGGTTCGCACAAAAATATTTGGATCCCAATAAGATTTAATAATACTAAACGAATGGACTCTGATCACATATAGATCTGATGAATAGATCTGATCACATATCCCAGGTCCCAAATAAGATTTAGGGTGCGTTCCTTTAGTGCAATCCGGATTTGGATCTTCAAATCGGATTATCGATTTTCAGTTTCATTTAACAAAATCTTAAAATAGATTCGTATCTGATGAATCCACCTCAACATATGGATTTTTCGGATTTAATCTGAAACTTGATTAAGATTCAACGTTCCTTTTGAGCTTCTGACCTTCTAGCATCTACCTTGACCCGACCGAAAGGTATAGTGGGACAGAAAATTTATTGTAAAAATGGCGGGAAAACAGCAGGCGAATTCCGATTCTCACAATTCGTTCCATTTGTTCAACGAATCCGCAAAATCCGAATCCTAAAATTCCAAATCTAGATTTACAAAAGAAACGCTCCTTTAGTGTTATCTGTGCAGGAGAATAGAACTCGTATAAATTGTGTTAGTTTACGCAACTAACCATGATGGGAATCGAACCCGTGATTTTTTTTACTTGCTATATTTCAAAACTGAAAACTTAAAGAGATTCCAGAATGTGGTGACATTTCGGAACTTAGTCTGCAGTATAGTTCCTTCGATATCTGTTCAGGTTCGAAAATTGTGCTCGGATGTACTCATATTATTTCTGGTAATTTACATAAATGCGTATTTTCTTTAGGAACTACAATAGCTGTGAATTATTGTGTAGAATGACACTACAGATCTGTTTGCTTACCAAACCTGTATTTCTCAGTGCTGAAACGAACTCGGTAAGCTCACAAATGCTAATTTTCGTTCAGTGGCACAATATTTACTGAAGGCTGGTGGTGGGCCCTACTGCGGGCCCTGCAAGTGCAGTTTTTTTACTGTTTTTCTGTTCGTTTATATAGGGGATCATATTTCTCTCGCTTCTGTATAAGGTCAGTTCTCGGAAGATTTCTAATTTGTTTTACCGTAAATCCACTATTAGCCTAAATCCCCTCCTCTCAAATAGGCTCCCTTCTCTTTTAACAGTCGGTGCCTGTGTACAGGCATAACAAACCGCAGCGGTATATAGGAGATACCTATACCTATATAAGCCCGCGCCTGGCGCCACCTCCCTCGGCACAACGAAAAAAGTCTGCTATATAATGTACGATATGCTTTGAATTTTACCGTGTTTCTATATAATTTACCGTGTTTATATATAATTTATGATATGCTTTGAATTTTACCGTGTTTCTTAAGTACTACGTTTTAGGCAAATTAATAAACGCCCCCTTTGTGTTGTCTTCTCTCGAAGCTAAACAGGTGCATGTGGTAAAGTATAATTCTAACATATGTATCTGAAATATTTCATTATTCTTAGGAGGAAAAGAAAGTGGATTTAGTCGCAATTAATCCTCAAACGTCTCGCGAAGCATGTCTGAAAACTTTCAATATGGTTCATATGATAGACGACAAGAGGTTGGTAAAAGTATAGTTGTTAAATTTATCACACTCATGCAGATTTTGTACTAATCATTATCCTCCTGAAAAAATAATCGACCATCATTTTTTTATTTCAATTATGTAGAAATAAACTTCTACATTGCTGTAAGACCGGTACCTATGTTATAAGCAGCTTTCAGCATGGTCAGATTTTTTTGTGGAATATAGCAACGGATAGCAAGACAGTTCTTCTCCCCAACTTTGGTAAGATATGCTATACATGGATTGGGTCCCAAAAATATAGGACATATAGGTCCCAAATATAGACCTATAGGTTTCAAAAATAATTATTGGTTTCAGGTTTCCGCCATAAACAGTTTCTTGGGCCTTGGCATGTAGCTAGGCTATATACTAAGATAATTGTTCTATCATGCATACGAAGTACTGTACAAACTATAGCAGACAACCCTGACTTCAAAACTATTACTGAAAATTAAAGTTTCACAGATTGTATTTAAAATATATTTGGCACGATATTCCCACGTTTCGTCCACAATAAAGTTAAAGTGCATGAAATTGGGATCAAGATAATGTATTAATCGTGCGCAAAACACGAGGATGTTGCCCAATATTTGTTATGCTCTGTTTTATATAGGTGATGTATATTGCATTTCACTTCATCCCGAAGACTCCGTGATTGCTTTTGGCACCGTTTCTGGTTGTGTTTATTTGAACGTTTTGTAAAAGTCTACGAAGTATTATTTTGCTAATTAAAGTATTAAACCTAACTTTCGTTATTTGTATCAATATAGTATAGTATATATATGTTCTTTACCAGCTGTGAGGTCCGTACTGAAAAAATATTTCCCGAGTTCGTTCGAATTATTAATTAAGGTATTTTCTTAAAAATTTATGTCTAAGGACAAATTGTACGTTGTATAGTATATTTATACGTATATTTTCGAAGAAATTTGAATCAAAACATGTAGCACTGGCCAATGCTTTTCGATGTTTATATTGGTTTTTCGCATTTTACATGGTCGCAGAAAAGTACATTTTGGGCTTGGCACTAGTCCACTAAAATATATGTATTCCATACATAAGAAAAGCTTTCCAATCACAACACTACTTAAAACATTTAAACAATCGATTATTTTCAAACAATTTATTTCAAATTCTTTCAACGATTATCATGTACTATAATGCAATATCCATGCAAATCTATAAAAAACATTAATTCTCATGCAAAAAGTAATTTAATTAAAAAATATTGAACTTTCTTCAATTTTCACAAAAACAATCTAACCAATGAGTTTATTCACTGCATTGATATCCTCCGAACCACCAGTTTGTGGTCGAGTTAGCATTTTCATGACAACGAAAGTTGGGGTTGATGAATTGTGGGTGACCAAAGTTATCTTCACTTGCGACAGCGCCAACAGTTGGAACAAACTCACAACCAGCAAATGAACTATCAATATGTAAACTGTATGCATTGAGAACTGCCCACCACCTCGCAGTACATTTGCCACATTTATGACCTAACGTAAGAAAAGGGATTATTTAGATTGATATAGGTATACACTTTTCTGGGTAGAAGAAGAAATAATTAAGTTACGATCGGTTTAGGTTGTGTAATTTTTATAACAAAAGGATATGGCATAAAAATTAAGTTAAAATGATATTTCAAAAACTCAATAATTCAGGAGGAAAACACAATGAAAAATCATAAGCGTGTCGTGGTTTTATATGTGATAAAAAATCATGTTAATTTACATAAACTTTAGCTTTGATTTTCTCGGTTTAGACAAAGTTTATTTTAAGACAAAGTTTATTTAAAGCACTTGTAGTCGTGTTTTATCACATATAAAACACTCCGCTACGCGTCGTGTTTTATATGTGATAAAACACTCCTACGCGTGCTTTAAATAGTACATAAACTTCCATTACAATTATTCCGTACGTTGCTTGGTTTTCGAAATAAATCGACTTATTTTGATCAAAAGCAGCTTGCATTCCGCCATCTGGGATATGCATTCGATATGCATACGTCACAAGTAGGGTGAAAAGCGAAATTTTTATCTTGCAAATTACATGTCATTATCAATATGAAACTTAGCCCGCGTGCAGGCCCACAGTACTATTCTTCCCTTGGTAGGCCTGTACGCGGGCCATATGAAACTCGATTTTCCGAAGTCTTTTTAGCTTTTAGTACTCGATTAACTCACAACATTTTAAGAAACTTTTTGAAGAAATTTAGTCCAACACGAAGAAGTTTTAACAAGTTTACCCTGCTTTTGACGTCATCAAAAACTCAGTTAGGTCAATTATAATACCAATTAAGATGGCCGACTGCACACTGTTTTTGGTCAAAATGTTTCGAAAACCAAGCAAGGTACGAAAAAGTTGTAATGGCTCTTCATATATAATTTTAATTTGTATTGCCATACCCCTTTAATAGTATACTGCAATGTATATGTTCCTCATTGCAATTTGAAAAAATATGCACAAGTGAGTTTTTCAAATACAATAAAAATTCGATGACAGTAAAAATTTAAGATGGGGGAATCTTTTATGCAGATAACAAGAAGAGGTATCCTGATAATAATATTTTTGTACAATCATTTCGTCCATTCAAAAAACTATAGTAAATATTACCACTTACCACGGATGTTGACATATTCCATTTTTTTACATACACCAACACCGATGTACGTCATGATATCGAAATCCTTAAAGTTTGATCTCGCTTGATCACGTCCATCGATGCCGTAAACAGGAAAACTACATGTAGCTCGCCAGTGAGTGGAAACAGATTTCAAACTGCTCATTTGAGGCTGGCTCATTCTGTAACGGTTGAAATTTGCAGATTTCTCATTGACTGGAGCATTCACCTTGAGCGGGTGTTTCCTGAATGGATCCTCATCTTTGTGCGAGAGAGCGAATGATTCCACTAGTGTCCAGGCTGCCGCGGCATCTGGTACCATGTCACAATAAACACTATCTAAGGAATCATCGTCTTCATTATAGATTTTGTAGTAGCCGTCGCTCGTTGAGCCTCGTTTCAAATGATCCAAACAACTTCTTGGTGGCAACTGATTACATAAGTTCTGAAGTAAAGAATATTTTCAATTAACACTGTTTGGGAAAGATGTTAGGAATTTGAAGATCAAAACCAAGCCTGGAACATAACTTAACGAAACTAATGAATTGCTGATTGCATGCTGTGTTAAAAAACTCAATAATTCATGAAGAAAACACAAAGAAAAATCATAAGCGTGTCGTATCTGTATATGTGATACAGATTCATGTTGATTTACATAAACTTTAACTTTGATTTTCTCGGCTTTTTTTAAGCCATTTAAAAAAATGGCTTACAATTCGCGTCCGTGTTGTATCGGATATGCAAACTCTCGCCTTTGGCTCGAGTTTGTATATCCGATACAACACGGCCGCTCATGTTGTAAATAGTACTTATAGGTAAAGTAATAGGAGCAAAAAATTGCAGCAACTTGCAATAAAATCTGTTAAGTAATGTTAGTTGCAAATTTGTACTAATGTTGTCTCGGGTGTTGCAACTTGTGTGTGTGAACATTTCAATTAACATGCGTTGAAATCAGACTTTATTGCATGCAAGTTGCTGCAATTTTGTTGCTCGTAGGCTATGACTTTACCTTATAGCATTAACATGTGGCAACTGATTAAACAATTTGTAATGGGCGTTTTAGTCGCCATATTAAACCAAACCAATGGTACTATATAGTATATACATGCATGCATGATATTAAAAAGTTAAATACATACCCCAGAACACTGATTAGCAGCAAAGATCTCCGCAGACATCTGTAAGACGACAAGAGAGAATATGAACTGGGCTAAAACCGACATTCTTCTCAAAGATGCAGTAAATCACTCTTTCTCTCTTCAAAACGTTTCAGTTTGATATAGTTCTGTCGAAGACTTGAAGATCACTTGTGCAAAATGGTTGCAGACCACTCCTTATATACTATTTGCAGGCTACACAATTTGTTCCCATAACGAAAAAAAATCTGTGAGAAACAAATGGTTCCCATCTTTAAGTGTCTTAATCCAATTCTTAATCATGCAATAATCCTGCTTGACACCACTTAGTTGGAAACAAAGGCTTTTCATTCTTAATGAGTTGGTACATGTAAATGAATTTGCTAAAAGATCGTATATTGGACAAACAAAGATAGTTTCGTGCAAAAAGGCCAGAGATTTTAAAAGCTTGACTTTAAAGCTAACTAATTACAAGCAGTTTTTTAATTTGGAATTTACATTTATTTTAACCACTAAAACTAGATTGTTCTGAACTGTCCCCTGGAGGCCCAGTGAGGACAATGCAAAAAGACATGCAGTGTTTGGTAGAGTCCGCTCTCTTCACAGATGCCAACCATATTACTTTATCTTGCTTACATGATGGGATTGGTTACCTGGGGTCTGCTTCATTTAGTCTTCTAGAACATTTGGGACACTGTTCTGGAACAATATGAAATGGAGTGCACACGTTCTGGAACAGTGTTTAGTTTATTATTTATGCAACCATTTATTACTATATTCATTAATTATTCGCATAATAAATCGTATATAATGATTTGCTGTTATTTGTATATCTAAGTATGCTTTTTCAACGTTTTTACTCGTTGATTTTACCCACCGTGGCGTTCAAATAGCATATTGTAAGTATATGTCGATATATAGCGGCTAACCCTTCAAAATAACACTCTATATGCAGTGTGTATTGGATACACAAAATCTGTCGCCTCCATTTCCAATCACGTGAAAATAGGCAGTGTCACATGTTGTAGATCTGTTCTAGCTGCACCTACTTTGAAGTTGGGGCAGCCAGAACAGTTCCAAACAGTCATGTGACTGTGTTATGCCATCTTAATATATAGTCTTCTGAAAATCGTACTCTGAACAGTAAAAGGAGCAGCCCTCTTGGTGAAGTATACTGGTCCAGACCTAGGTAGCCTGCGTAGCGCCTCAGACCTAGGACTCGATCAAAATTAATTTAGTCTTTGGACTGGATCAAAATTGATTCATCTCACTTGGTGACTTACTCGTATGAGATGTCATATCAAATCCCACAATTCAGACTTTACCAGATATCCGGTCCTCGCAATTAGTTCAGTCCTCAAAGTCATTGTATGGTCGGATTTGATATATTTCATACAAAGCATGATTAATATTTTGATTTTGAGGACACAACGATATCGAGTATCTGATTAATATCATAATGCTTGGTTTATCTTGTTTTCAGTCCACATGCTAGGACTAAGTTCAACAATATGATGTACAAATACTTGTGCAATGGCAACTGGCTTGTAATGTTTCTGTCTAGGTCCTGTTTCAATCTGCAGAGATAGATTAGAAGTACTCCGACTGCATATGTACATACTTACAATTGTACAACATACACACAAGTCTTCTTTGATCTGCTATAATCATACAATTAGTGTTTGGAATTAATTATTATAAATTATTATTATAAATGAACAGAATCGTTCTTCGACAGAACGTTTAGCAGTGGGTGATAGCATTGAGTGGCTCTGCAGCTTGTCTTAGTAATCGAAAATAGTCAGCTTGTCTTAGTAATATTCTGTTGTGGTTTAGTTGGTATGTTTAACACAATAATTATGGGAAGTATTTGGCCCTTTGCAGCGATGACGCACGAATTAGTCCAGAACATGTTTTATCATATTCTTTGGAGAGCATGGACACAAAATCCATCCATTAATTAAGCTAAGACATTAAGCTAAGGGTTTAAGCCTTCATGGAAATCACTCTATTGCAGTCATGTTTGAAACCATAATTCAAAGCATAAATATGGTAAAAAAGTGCCAAAAAAATTTTCCAGCTGATGATCTAACTCCATTTGGAAAACCCCACGTTACGTTCTCAGCCGCGAAACGCTCATTGCCTAGGGTTGATTCAAAAACTAAGGGCCCCCCACAGTTAGGCGGGGCCCCCATCATCCACGGCTTATCGCCAGAAAATTAGAAAACGTAAAAAAATACAGGTTAATAATCAATGGGTAAATGCAAAATTAATAATGCTAAATAATAAAGCCTCTATCGACAACGGTAGCTGTTTTTTTATTCCATCTCAAAAATAAAACAAAATTTATTCTTATAGTAGTTACATGTGTTAGAGACTATTATTGTTATTGCTATAGACATGGAATTTTCCAGTACATTCTATAAATATTCGATTTTTTTAGATATAATATCTCAGTCAAACAATGACAACAGTCACAGGGGTCCCCACGCCAAATATGCTAAAGCCCCTCTTGCCCGTTATGTAATTCTACGCTGCTGAAGAACAACAAACTATAGTGCTACTATATAGTCGTGTTTTGTAAATGGTTAAGAGGAGATTTTTTTGTATGTTACGTAACACGCGCTCAAAACTCATGCGTATAATATATCGCTTGAGGTTATGACTAAATTCAAAATATTTAGTTTTCGATACGTTTCTCAATCGGTAAACAAACTTAAAAGTATGTTTAGTGTTTTATCTGTAAAATAATGCTAAAATGAAGAGATTTTAGATGATACGCCAAAGAGAAAATGATGTCTGAAGTTCAGTAAGTTTTGCTTATATGGCTGTAAATATGGCGTCAATTTTAAAGCATCATTGATATTTGTATTTTAATTGACATTTTTTAACTGTTATTTTATGTTTCTGAACCGGCAAATGCATTTAAAAAGGTAGCTAACTCTATAAACTAGAGAATAAAGCTAAAACAAAGTGATTTTGAGAGGAACGCCAAAAAGATTTTAGGTTTTGAACACTTTTCATTGCAAATACGTGACATTGAAAAAAATTGCCTCTTAATAATAAATTGATGATGATCCAAGCTTTGCCAAACAAACAAATAATCACTGGAAAAAATAATACATACAAAAATTTCCATACTATGGAATTTGCAATTGCATTACCAAATCCATAGTATATCCAGATTATTTGCACACTATATCCATAGTATGGAAATTCCAATTATATAGTATGAAAATTGGATTCCATATATTACTTCCAACAATCTATGTTATATCCATAGTAATGATTTTGAAAAAAAAAATTCCAGTGAATCATGCTACGTTTGTCTTGTTTATATTCGTAATCACAAATAATGTCATGACTATATGAATAACTGTACTGTTTCTACGCCGGTTGTTTAATTGTGCAGGAATTAAGTTGACTAGGGATCCTTAAAAATATTCTGCATGCTTATAACCATGTGTTCCCATAACGAAATAAAAATTCCAGTGTAAATGCATAATGCTATGCCATGCATGCATGCATGAAAAAATATCATCCCATTTTTTCTCAGACAATCAAGGTGAACACGGCTTTGTGGTCAACTGCAAGTACTTGTTATAAGGAGCTATTAATCCAGTCCGTTGCAAAAGTTTAAGAGTTAATTTAATAAGAAATTCAAAATTGAATGAAATATATTGAAGCAAGATCATTCCAGTATAATTTTAATGTTAAATATGTGCGTTGCTGCACCTATTTATGATTTTTAGGGTGCTGGTGCAACCGTGCAAGGGAACGCGAGTCAAGAACTATAGGCTAGCATTTCGCAATGTGGATCACTTCCAATGAATGAATGAATGGACCAATTTAGTTTAAATGTTCACCTATGGAACTGTTGTGTGTTTAAATTAGCTTCACTATCAAGAAATATCCATGCCTGTGTATGTTGAAGGGTATAGCTTCTCGCACCTCTAACACGTTTTAGAACGTTTAATTTTATAATTATATGTACGCTACAAATGAGACTCGTGTCGGCCATATTGATGTGTCCTCATTAGTTATTCCGCAGCAATTTTAAGACGAAGGAGAGGCCATTGATGACCAATTTCTATTTACTAGACAATAAGTATCCTTTCCCAACAATAACCAGAAACTAGCTTAACGAGAATAAATAGAACCTCTTCTAACATGTCAGTAATACCACAGTAGATTCGTGGTGGACACACAATAAGGCTGGCATTGGCCGCTTCATTTATGGGATAATTGCGGAATTGGCCTCAAAGATAGGTTGCAAAAATACCAGAATCGTGCTGCAAAAGTAATTTCTGGGGCAACTTACGATATTCGGTAATCTGGTTTATACTTTGAATGGCCACTCCGCACCCAATCTTAAAGAGGCATTTCAATCTAATAATGAAAGACACAATACATATATAAAAATATGAGAAAATATATAATAAGACTAGATTGCAGGAAATTAAGGAAACAAGAAAATACAATGATTTTTAATGCACGATCATGCATACATGAGCAAGTTTTAACTCATTCTTTGTTTTAATTAATATCGATTTGAAAGAGCATATAAGGATTCAGCAATTTTTGCCTCATGTGGGAGATTATTTCAACACAAGGCACCGTTATAACTGAAGCAACTTTCAGATCCGGTCGTCTTTGTGCGCCTTGAGAATAACACAAATGAATTAAAACAGACATTATATAATATAGAAACCATGTAGTGGCATGCAGTGTTTATTGATTCGGACTCGAGTTCAATGCGAAAAATACCTCGACTCGAGTCAGCAGCCCCAAATGTCTCGACTCGGACTCGACAATAAGTCCTGTGAACAATATGAACTTCGAAGCGTTATCAGAAAAAATATATGGGAATTTGCATGGAACCCTGATGGGTATTCCTATTATACATTTTGTATTTTAAGAATTAAACAACGCTAGTGTCAATGGATGTCCTGAGCATAATGAAATAAATTGAAGTAGCCTACAACAACTCAAGAAATTCTACCAGACATCTTTATTTTGGTTTCGTACCACCAAATGTGATACTGATTAGACAAATTAGCCTTATGTCAATAGGCAATTCCAGCTTTTAGTTTATGCGTGCAGGGTATAGGATGGGAAGAACGGTATCATATTGCTGATTATGCTAAAAAATAAAAATGGCCTCCTCCTCAAATGAAAGCCCCGGGAACGAGGTTGGCGTATGCCTATACGGATTCTGAACGATAATATCTTGAAGGACATACGGTTCAAACAGCCAATGAAAGTAATTGTTTTAACAAGTCCCTGCCGTTAACCAATTAACGCTGTGATCCAAATTATTAAGCATCGTGATTGGTGCGGCTCGATCTGAAAAACCATAGAAGTGTTCCAGAGGTTCTTCCCGCTCGCCTCCCGCCCAGCTTACATCCTCGTGTATCCCTCATTATCCCCTTACGAGCGTGGAAGAACCTCTAGCACCCAGGATATTGTTTCGGCAGTTTTTATTGAAATTTTTCAGCATAATCAACAATATGATACCTTACTTCCCGTCACCCCCTGCGCGCAAAAATAAAAAGCTGAAATTGCCAATTGACCGGTATAATTACCTCTATAGATGGATCTATTTAATGGTTAAACATTCAAGCCCTATTGCATAAACAAAACAGCCACTGAAAATAAATTCCCATTTTCAAGCACATAACGTCAAAGTAACGAATTCTCTTTAAATCTCTAACCGCAATAAAACGAATGTGATAATGAATCATTAAATTGCTGAAAATAAGTTCCCATCTGCTCAAAATCTTCTGATTAACATGATTATATGTGATTTAGAGAACTGCGGATAATTGAGGGATACAAATAAATGAAAAATATAAGCAGATCAACTTCGATGTTTTGAGGGAAGACCCCTCGTCGGAAAGCCAGTAGACAACTGCAGGTTAGAACCAACACTACTATAGCTTTCCGACAAAGGGCCTTCGCTAGGAACGTCGAAGTTGAACTGCTTATATTTTTCACTTGTGTCTATCCCAATCTATCGCTCTCTTGTTATCGTCGGTATATCTAAACACTGGCACAGATTCTTTGAGATTGGATGTGATTTACCATGTAATAAAAAATTAACATAATTTCAAACAAGCTGGTGAACTTCAAAGTTTTTTACAACCCAATTCAAGAGGTGAAACAAGACTAGAACGTGCATGATCATTTTCTTAATATTGATGCCCTCCCTCTGAACATGTAATTACTAAAGAATATATACTTTTGCGCATTACGCATTAGGATCCGAGTGCCGCATATCCTGAGCTCTGTTAATTTGCTTGGCGAAATGTCTCCAAAATGAAAGCAAAGAATTACAACTCTTGTAGCTTGTCCTAGCGTTAGAATCTATGAGGACCATGCAAACAAGATTTTAATAAGTTATTTGCAGGATTGCATTGCGAAAAAACTTATAATACTTTTTGTTTGCGGCCACCACGTAAAATTTTACAAAGGCGGAAAAGTCAGTTAAATCTTACTAAATTTTATATGCTGAACACCTCAACAAATACACTAGCTTGAAGTCACACACGAAACTAAATGCTGTGCTTTTTTTCATTAATTACTTCGGAAGAAACGTTTAAATGAATTTAAACATTTTCCTTACGTGCCTTCATGATCTGAAAAAAGCCTGGCATGTGCAAGTGTTGTACAATTAAGTATGTATGTACAGTTGCATGGATTATAATTGCGTTATGATATTAGCCTCCTTTCAGCCAGAAATTTCGAGAGCGCATAAGCAAACTGATATGAAAATAATTATCTTTATTTACTTATTATGAACCGATTATCTTTAGTCTTACAACAAATGTTTCTGTTTCAGTTCAGAACAATGTAGTTTTAGTGGTTAAAATAAATGGAAAATTAAAGTGCACTACAACAATAGTTAGTTACACTTATAGTTAGTTTTAAAGTCAAGATCTCTGCTCTTTTTGCACGAAACGATCTTCGTTTGTCCAATACACGATCTTTAATCTTAAATGTAACAGTCATAGGGGTCTTAAACAAAAGCCTTATAGGTTTCTAGTATGCCCCTAGCCCTACTGTAATAATAAATTAGTCAACTTTTGTAAATATTATAAAACATTGGGGCAAACTCAATACTCCAAAATATGTTTAAATAAAAACATTTTTTTGGGCGAAATTAAATAAATAAATAAATAAATAAATATGCGTTATGCATATATATAATAGCTTCAAAATACGCTTATTTTACCCACTGAATTTAGATTTTGGGTATTTTATTCTGCATATATAGAATTCGACTTTCGACTTCTATCCCTCATGCAGATTGAAACAGGACCTTAATTTTGACAGGGACAGTTATACAAACCAATTGTCATTGTAATGCCCAAGTATTTGTACATCATATTGTTGAAGACAAACAAAGTATTATTATATTAATGTTAAGCATGCTCGATATCGTTGTGTCCTCATGCAAAACCGAAATATAAATCATGTTCTGTATTATAAGTATAACCTGCGAACTCTGCGAGTCTCATCCGATTCCTACTGTATGTAGACTAATGTAGTTGTCTGAATTTATTTCGCATCTGTCGCATGTGAGATAGAAGAGCTAGCGCTTCCAGTTACCCAACACTGCAGCCGGTCTTTGTGCATGGCGGTTATCTGCACGTTCAGGAAGAACAGTTCAGAACAATGTAGTTTTAGTGGTTAAAATAAATGGCAAATTAAAGTGACCACAACTAAATAGTTAGTTATACTTATGGTTAGTTTTAAAGTCAAGCTTTTAAGATCTCTGCTTTTTTTGCACGAAACGATCTTCGTTTGTCCAATACACGATCTTTCAGTAAACTAATCTACCCACATGTTATGAGCATAAAAAGCCTTTGTTTACATATCTAAGTGGTGTCAACTAGGACTATAGATAGATTAGGAATTGGAAGACACTTAAAGATGGGAACCGTTTGTGTTTTCACTGGGTTTTTTTCCGTTATAGGAACACATGGTGTAGCCTGTAAAGAGTATACAGGGTGTATAAAAAAAAACTGAACAGATTTAAAATTGCTCTCAATTTCGCAAAACAGCTATTTGTATCCGGTTTTTTATATATATAGTCTCTTTGCGTACTTATAATGTAGAATAATGAGAAAAATTTCTCAAACTCAAATTTTGTGAACCAGGGGGGTGTGTCTTTTCCAACAAACTAAGAATGGCTCGCGCTCAAAATGTAAAAGGTGCAATCATATTTTGAGTTAACAGATGGAAAATTTGTCGGGTTTTTAATTACTGTACAAAATTTCAGACAATTTGGTTTAGCTTAAGCCCCTTAACTATTCACGCAAAGTTACATTTTTCCTAAAAATCAGCTGTTTGCATGCTTAATTAATGCATTTGCCTAATTTGCATATGTCAGCAATATGCAAATTAGCTAAAGGCATTAATTAAGCATGCGAAAGGCTGACTTTTTAAAACTAAACCAAATTGTCTGAAATTTTGTACAGTAATTAAAAACCCGACAAGTTTTCCATCTATTAACTCAAAATATGATTACAGCTTTTAAATTTTGTGCGCGAGCCATTTTTAGTTTGTTGGAAAAGACACACCCCCTGGTTCACAAAATTTGAGTTGGAGAAATTTTTCTCATTATTTTACATTATAAGTACCCAAAGAAGCTATATATATAAAAAAACCGGATACAAATAGGTGTTTTGCGAAATTGAGAGCAATTTCAAATCTGTTCAGTTTTTTTTTTATACACCCTGTATAAGGAGTGGTCTGCAACCATTTTGCACAAGTGATATTCAAGTCTTCGACAGAATTATATCAAACTGAAAAGTTTTGAAGAGAGAAAGAGTGATTTACTGCATCTTTGAGAAGAATGTCTGCTTTAGCCCAGTTTATACTCTGTTTTGTCGTCTTACAGATGTCTGCAGAGATCTTTGCTGCTAATCAGTGTTCTGGAGTATGTATTTAAACTTAAATATCATGTCTATTATCATTGGTTCGTTAAAGTAGGCGATTAAAACGCCCAACAGAAATTATGTAATCAGTTGCCACATGTTAAGGTTATAGCTATATGTATAATACAACATGCAATCATTTCTAAGTCGAGGCGATATTACTGCCGTTATATTTTTTCAGCATTTCTTACATGTTCCATGCATTTGCCAATTTCGTAAAATTTCCAGCCTTGTTTTTGATCTTCAAATTTCGACACCTTTCCTAAACAGTGCTATATAACTAAGAATTTTCTTTTACTTCAGAACTTATGTGATCAGTTAACACCAAGAAGTTGTTTGGATCATTTAAAGCGATGCTCAACAAGTGAGGGGAACTACAAAATCTACAATGAAAACGATAATTGCTTATATAGTGTTTACTGTGACATGGTACCAGAGACCGCGGCAGCCTGGACACTAGTGGAATCATTCGCTCTCTCACACAAAGACGAGGATCCATTCAGGAAACACCCGTTCAAGACGAATGCTCCAGTCAATAAGAAATCTGCAAATTTCAACCGTTATAGAATGAGCCAGCCTCAAATGAGCAGTTTGAAATCTGTTTCTACTCACTGGCGAGCTACATGTAGTTTTCCTATTGACGGCATCGATGGACGTGATCAAGCGAGAGCTAACTTTCAGGATTTCGATATCATGACGTTCCTCGGTAATGGTGTATGTAAACCAATGGAATATGTCAACATCCGTGGTAGGTCTAATATTTAAACTTTCACATTGAAGAACAATGAGAATTATCGCTTTCTAGGTTGATGGTTTTATATATAAATATTTTTGTTTCGCAAATATTTAACTAGTCTACTCTGGTTAAAACGAAAAAAAACTTTGTTCTGAATAACAATGAGATGATGACCTCTTAATACAAATCTTTGACTTCCTGAGGTCTTCTCGCCACTCCCTTTCCTTTCAATTTGACATACATATAAAATACAAACATACCTAAATTTTACTACAATAATCAATGTAAATAACTGAAAAAAGTGGTAAATAAATTGAATTGAATAGGTCCCTTGTAAACAAAGAGTTAAAAGACTGTTCACTACGAAACTGTCTTTGTTCGAGAACCAAAAAAAACACATTCAGTTTAAAATTCATTTTTTGAATGGAAGAAGTGCGTAGACTATATATGCAAAACTATTTCTCGTGGAAGAAAACAAAAAAAATATTTTGATGAAAAAATTCTCCTCGTCTTAAATTTCTTTATATATTTATCCTATTATCGACTAGAATATTGCATGCTTCCTCGAATCCTCGTGCAATTTGAAAAAACACAACACAGACTTGTGAGTATGTCTGATCTGCATGTGTGCCAAATATCACTTAGTTTCGCAAGAATGTTTTGCACTGAATTTTGATTCTATTTGCATATACATTTCATGCATTTCTTTTCAAATTGCTACACTTATTATCCTAATAAGTTCTTTGTAAAGATGATCCAATTACATTACAGTATATACTGGATATAAAAATTACACAACCTAAACCGATCGTAAGTGAACACCGATATATATATATCAATGGAATAATCTCCTTTCTTACGTTAGGCCATGAATGTGTCAAATGCACTGCAAGATGGTGGGCAGCTCTCAATGCATACATGCAGTCAACATATTGACAGTTCACATGGTGGTTGTCAGTTTGTTCCAACTGCAGGCGCTGTCGCAGGTGAAGACAACTTTGGTTTCCCAAAAATCATCAACCCCAACTTTCGTTGTCATGAAAATGTTAACTCGACCACGAACTGGTGGTTCGGAGGATATCAATGTAGTTAATAAACTCATTGGTTGAATTGTTTTTGTGAAAATTGAAGGAAGTTCAACTTGTATGTTTTAAATTACCTTTTTGCATGATAGTTAATGATTTTTATAGATTTGCATGATATAGTACATGACAATCGTTGAAAGAAATTGAAATAAATTGTTTGAAAATAATCGATTGTTTAAATGTTTTTATGATTGCATAATGGTTTTAGTCTTATCTGTCCCATGGTATTCTGGTGTATTAGAAAAGATTTAAAGTAGAGATTATATTTGAATGAAGAAAAGTAAAGAGCAGAGCAAGTTTTTTAAACTCTTTGACGGTGCCATGAGAATGCGCGCAGGCTCGACTAGCCTCGTTTTAGTGCTTTTGCACATTTCAAAGGGCTATATATAATTTCACTTGCATGGGATTCCTACACAAGATGTATAAAAACGCAATCATGCATCTTTTTTGCTTAATAATTAATCATTTTATGATTAATTATGAATACTAGACCAAACAAATTGGATCGAACAAGGGGTCATTTGTAGTATTTGTATCTTATTGCAAATAACACCGCAAATAATAAAATTTATAGCTAGCAGAACCGACTTTAACATAATATTTTACAAATGACAAAGATGGCTGTACTCAGAGAAAGTGCAATAATGAATATTATCTTACATTAGTTCATGATTGTCTCGGTTTCCTTTGATCTACCGCGGTCATTATCCAGCTTAATCACTTCAAAAGCTGGGGGCCGTTTTTGAATTCTACCAAGGAACTGCGGGGTTGAAATTCGTTGTTGTAAGGTTAATATGCATAAATTAACTCATTATCCCCGGGATATTTAGCAGTTATTCTACGAACTCGAGTCGAATATAAGCTGATAGCCGAGTGGAATAACCGTTTTAATATATACACCAGATCTGAATTCACAGACTCATTGCTTTTCCGTTATTGTCAATATTTTTCTATTTTGTTTATGTTTTTATCTTCGCACCTTCCACCGATTATTTTTTCAAAAATATATATTTTTAACCATTTTAAATTTTTAAAATTCATTTGCAAACACCTGTAAACAATTTGTGGGAGTTTTTTCATTGTGTTTTTAATCCTGCATGTAAAGGCTATAAAAAGCGAACAACTTGTCGTTTTCTCGTTCGCAAAACGTCGGAAATTCAATTTGAACCGCCATTTTGTTTTTCTCTACTAGCAGGATATGAGCTAATATCCTGCTAGTAGAGAACCAATCAGATTGCATCATATCCAGACCTTGTATATATAATAATATTTATTATCTCGGGTACAATAAGCACTGTTTAATAAACGAGCAGGAGTACTTTATCAGATATAAAACTACATATACATACAGGGCCTCCTTGTGAGTGATCTCGCCAAATCCCTTTCATTACTTTGCCATATCCGTCGTTTGTTGCGTGTTTGAAATTAACAAAAGATATGAAAAAGTTGATAAACCAGGAAAAAGCCACGATAAGCAACTATCCATTATGCACTGTCCTACATCGTAAAATATCGAGCATGCAGGTGAGCCTATTGAAGACTGTCATGTTTGCGTATTATTTTAGCTCATATCCTGCCAGTATAGAAAAAACAAGATGCCGTCTCAAAATTACCGAAGTTTTCTAAACGAGAAACCAGCAAGTTATTCAGTCGTTTTTTATAGCATCAAGAGGAATAAAAGCACAATGAAAATACTTCCACCAATTGTTTACAGGTTAGCAAATAGATCTTTAATACTTAAACTGGTTAAAAAATGTATTTTTGAACAAAATAATGCCGAAAGAGCGAAGACAAAAACATGAACAGAATATAACTTTTTAGAAGAAATTAATCTGAACTAAATTTATAGATGTGAATTCAACCAGCACTTGTTTTGTCTAAAAAGCCTTAATATTAAATATATAAAAATTTCGAGTTATCAGAATTTCGACAGTTAACTGACTAAACAATGCGATACAGATGAGTCTCTGAATTCAGTAGTTGTCTATATATACTAAAACCGTTATTCTACTCACTCTTGTGCCGAGTTCGCAGAATAACTGTTAATTATCGGTAGCTTTTTAGCCAATGAGAAAACGAGAACTAACTATACAATGAATAATAATAGTTAATATAGTATTTATTATAGGTACATGGTGTTTAACATCTTCACAGCTTCCTTTCTCAACATCGTCTTCGTCCAAAAGAATATCACCGAGTGAGCACTGGAATTGCACAGACCAAGAGTTATAATCCAGATGTTAATTATTAGCTCTTCAAATTGATTGAGGCTTGGGAAAAAGGGAACAGCAATCGTTGCTGGCAGGAATCCGAGGACGCAAAAACAAATGACAACTACAAAACAAGATTTTGCTTGTTTAATTTCTCGAAGAAACAATTTCATTCTTGTCAAGTTTCCTTTTGAAACAGCATCATGTAATTCGTTTTGCGATTGAGCTAACTTTCTAACCACCAAGTATATTCTTGTGTAGACAAATGCAATGAAGAAGAATGAAAGCGATTGTGTCACCATCGCATATATCTCAAAAAGCCAATGAATTGCAAAAGAGAGAATGATGACAGAAAATTCCACAGCAGCACAGCAACCTACACCTATTAAGAGTCTCTTATTTGTCACCAGAGTGCTGTAAGCATAGGGATGTAAGATGGCAATGTATCTTTCCAATGTCGTAGCACAAAGTGTGTTAATAGATGCTCCAATTTGTAAGATTGTTGATCGAAGCGCCAAAGTTGTTGTAAGACAGGTTGAAATTCCTCCTATTGCGCTTGCCATAAAGAAGATAAATATAGGTATGCTTAAAATACCAACTGCCAAGTCAATCATGGACTGAACAAGAATGATAAAATAACAAGGCTTGCTCTTCAGTTGAGATGATTTTAAAATCGTTATTATTGCAACAGCGTTGAGTAATATCGTAGGAATTATCAAAATGCCATTAAAGATAATAGCAAAAATGTGATTGATTACAAACTTTTCAGACGGAAGTTTGGTTATGACGAAATGTGTTCTTCCCAGGATTTCGCATGATATCTCAAACTCTTCTTGTGCCACTGACAGATTCATTTTGCTTCCTTCTCACGTATAGACGACGCGACCGATAACAACACCAAAAGAGAGCGTTGGCTTTTAAATTAATCAATGTCCACCACGCTTCTTATATACTGGCGGAACATTAACATGCATAAATAGACTGTTTAACTTCAATTTGGTGCTTAATGAAAAACATTTTTCTTGATTTGCACTTGCTCTTAGGAATTGCCCTCATTGTCATTTGTGAGATATTGTTATGTTAACAGCAGTGCTTCAGAATGATGGGTCGGTTGCGTCCGAAGTTCGAAAACAAATTAGTTGAAACTTAACGAAACATATTCAAAATTTCATGCTCTGCTTTGTTCAATATAAAAGCCAAATGAAAAAGTATCAGTTTTCACAGTAGATTTGACGAACCTTTGGCCACAAATGTTCCAAACTTCGTTGCGAAGTTCGCTTCGAAGTTCAGAAGTTCATATTGGAATTCACAAGAGAGGGCGTGGGTAAATAAACTTTTTCTATCTTCTATCTATTCTCTAACTTTTGAACTTCGCAACGAAGTTTGTAATATTTGTGGTCAAAGTTATCTGAAATCGACTGTATAAATGAATCATGTCTGCATCGTTTATCTACATAGGTGGCTTTCAACAGGCTCCAGTTCAGTGCACATGGATAAGACTTAAACACAGTATCTAATTAGAATCCCACCATTGTCTGACCTCCATTTACCTCTGTGTTAAAGTGTCGTCGGATTGCTTGAAACCCACACATACTGATCAATAATACATAAATCGACTGAATTTTAATATCAGCTGCAGCAACCATTAAGTAATTTCATTGTACATGTAGGGTAATTTCTCTTTGATGTTTCTCGATCTCTTTTTTTTTTCAACGCGAGAATTCAAATAGTTTTTGAGCAGTAATAGTAACGCTTATTTTCTTCTTCACTGCATTATCTTACACAAGAATATGCATGTTCGTGTGGGCCCACCTTTTGGAAAATGTTTGATCAGAACAAAAGCATGTGCACTATTATTTCATTTCCTGTGAGGTAAATTTTATATCCGGTGCTATGTTTCAAATGTTCAAGATTGGTTTGTAATTAGGTAGATTTGTTTAAAGTTAAATTACTACCGGTATTTAAAATTATCACAACATGATAAAATATACCCCAAAATGCTGAAAATTCCCCTTTAGGAACTCTAGATATGAAATGGTGTGTGAATATTATATAAGTGCATAATATTTAGTGCAGAAGATTATGCATGCATGCATGGATACACTGGGAGTCCAAATATATAGTCACATAATAAACAAACTAGCGTAGGGATAGATGTCTATATCAGGAAGTTTGGGCATCTCACTCGATTGAACTAAAGCCTGCCGCACACGAGAACAACTTGCTGAGCTAACCGCCTCGCGTGGCAGCTAGCTCAGCTATGTATTTTCACTGCACAGGTTGGGAAAACTACTCTTTGTTCCTAGTCACATGAAGAAACTATGGTTTGTCATTGGCTAATTGATTCAAACAGCTCAGCACTTAGCTCACAATATCCGCAGACGCCGAGATTTTTTCCTCGCGAGGTGAAAAATATCAAACACGATAGATATTTTCCTCAAGGCCTCGAGAGGTCAAATCCTCACGAAAACTATCCGCACACGAGAGGAACTTGCTGAGCTAGCTGCCACGCGAGGTGGTTAGCTCAGCAAGTTGCTCTCGTGTGCGGCGGGCTTAATGTAGAAGGATTATGTAGATGTAAATCTCGAGTGTAAATTTTATACATTTATTTAGACCTAACCAAGAGTAGCTGCTATAAAAATACAACTATAGGCCATCTACTAAAATACAGCCATTTTGTATTCGTACTTGCCATGCATGATTCTGATTGAGATGTTGAATTTGACGTTATCGCATTTTCCTGCCCCGGGTCTATAAATGATATTTATATTGTAATATAATATTACATAATTTAAAATATTGTGGTAAATGAATTTCATATTTTCATTAACATTTCAACCAAAGTTTTCAAGTCATTCGTTTCAGGTGTCCCAAATCTTTTTTTGAACTTATATATTACATCATAGTTAAATTATTGAATTTCGTGTTTTCATTAACATTTCTATCAAAATCTATCCGAATTTTCCAAGTGATTCGTTTCGGATGTTCTAAATATTTTTGGACTTCGTACTCAACACCTGTCGTTTATTATTCCGCCCTCCCATGATTCTCAAGTACCACTGTTCGGCATGTTGTAAAACGCGGAGTGGAGTTGATTTGTAAAACGCGGAGTGGAGTGGATTTGTAAAACGCGGAGTCAAAAATTTGTAAAACGCGGAGTCAAAAATTTGTAAAACGCGGAGTCAAAATTTGTAAAACGCGGAGTCAAAATTTGTAAAACGCGGAGTCAAAATCTGTAAAACGCGGAGTCAAAATTTGTAAAACGCGGAGTCAAAATTTGTAAAACGCGGAGTCAAAATTTGTAAAACGCGGAGTCAAAATTTGTAAAACGCGGAGTCAAAATTTGTAAAACGCGGAGTCAAAATTTCTAATCGTAAATTAAAGATCAAATCACTCCCTATTAAGGTTTATATATTACCGTAACATAACAAAAATAATAATAATAATAATAATTTTCCCCTAGCCTGCATAGGGGAAAATTTCGAAAAAACCCAAAACAAAACACAAAGCCTCTGCAGAGGAGATTGGTAACATAACACCTATTTATGGCAAGTGTGCTCTGCCGCATTTCGACATTTTATCTCCGTTGCTATGGTTATGCCAACACGTACTTCTTTTAATGTGTGAGTTGACACCCGAATTCTAAAACCTTCCGACCAAAATGATACTACATATTTTGGCATGTGCCGCTGTCATGTAGGGAATATATTTTTATAGCTTCGTCTCGTGTGATTGTAGACGTTATTTCAGAATGGAGGGGAGCTTTAAGCTCCCAAAACTTGTGCCGAAACAAAAGAAGGATTTAGAGCTACCGAGATTTGATTGGGCAAGTATAGCGAAACAGAAAAAGCTTGGATCTGGCAGTTTCGGTTCTGTGTATCTAGCTAAACACGCTGGTACCGCACAAAATGTCGTTGTAAAGAAACTTAAAAGCGTCTCTATCGACTCACAGACGCGCTTCGTGAAAGAGGCGAAGATTTTGAATAGCGTTAAAGGACACCGCAATATCAGCAAATTTTTAGGATTTTGTAGTGAGCCGCACTCTATAATGATGCAGTACTCAAGATTCGATTTTGGCTTTTTCGGAGTTGAGAAAAGTGTGAGTTCTCTCGCTGACTTTCTTCAATTTGTCGACACTGAGTTCGAGTTTTCGTCAGTTGCTAATTTGTTGCCAGTATGTGTTAAAGATATACTCGCAGGACTTGATTATTTGCACAATCATAATATAGCTCACCGAGATTTAAAACCTGGTAACATATTGGTTTGTAACCAGCATTTGGATGATGTTGCCGGTGATGACAAAGCCATGGCCAAGGCTTACGAAGAGTGTCCCATTGTATGCCAACTTACTGACTTTGGTCTCAGCCGTAGTGTCGACATCCAAACCAAGTCAGTTGTTATGTCTAAGACAACGTCAGTCAGTTGTGGTACTCCTGCATACATGGCGCCAGAAATGCAGCTAAATCAACTGGTTTTTGCCAGCCACGAAGATCTGAAACGTGCAGATATGTGGTCCTTGGGCCTTGTTATGCATACCACGATAAATCCAGATCTTGGTAGTCCTTATCGAGCTGAATTAGAGCAATCTAGTGCGCCCGATATCCATATGGCATTGAAAGATCTTCTGACGAAACATCGACTACCTCAACATGGTGCAAAATATGAGCAGCTGCGAATAACGTCGTGGTGGCAACTTGAAGATATATTCAATCGGTGCGCTAATTTTGATGCGATGGCTAGACCTTCCACAGCAGAGATGCTTTGCTTGATTAACAAGAGCTTGGTTAACTATTTCCGTCGTCTTCCTTTGTCAATTAGCCAGAGTACGGTTTTGGAGCAGTGTGATGCTCGCCTAGCTGCAAATTTGCAAGGAAACATGCATCTATCGACCAGTCAACCCACTTTACTTCCCCCAAACGACGCAACCAATTGTTGTGCATCAAAATTAGCGCACCGATTGAATATATCTTCAAGTTGCCACCACGAGGTTATTCGCAGCTGCTCATATTTTGCACCATGTTGAGGTAGTCGATGTTTCGTCAGAAGATCTTTCAATGCCATATGGATATCGGGCGCACTAGATTGCTCTAATTCAGCTCGATAAGGACTACCAAGATCTGGATTTATCATGGTATGCATAACAAGGCCCAAGGACCACATATCTGCACGTTTCAGATCTTCGTGGCTGGCAAAAACCAGTTGATTTAGCTGCATTTCTGGCGCCATGTATGCAGGAGTACCACAACTGACTGACGTTGTCTTAGACATAACAACTGACTTGGTTTGGATGTCGACACTACGGCTGAGACCAAAGTCAGTAAGTTGGCATACAATGGGACACTCTTCGTAAGCCTTGGCCATGGCTTTGTCATCACCGGCAACATCATCCAAATGCTGGTTACAAACCAATATGTTACCAGGTTTTAAATCTCGGTGAGCTATATTATGATTGTGCAAATAATCAAGTCCTGCGAGTATATCTTTAACACATACTGGCAACAAATTAGCAACTGACGAAAACTCGAACTCAGTGTCGACAAATTGAAGAAAGTCAGCGAGAGAACTCACACTTTTCTCAACTCCGAAAAAGCCACAATCGAATCTTGAGTACTGCATCATTATAGAGTGCGGCTCACTACAAAATCCTAAAAATTTGCTTATATTGCGGTGTCCTTTAACGCTATTCAAAATCTTCGCCTCTTTCACGAAGCGCGTCTGTGAGTCGATAGAGACGCTTTTAAGTTTCTTTACAACGACATTTTGTGCGGTACCAGCGTGTTTAGCTAGATACACAGAACCGAAACTGCCAGATCCAAGCTTTTTCTGTTTCGCTATACTTGCCCAATCAAATCTCGGTAGCTCTAAATCCTTCTTTTGTTTCGGCACAAGTTTTGGGAGCTTAAAGCTCCCCTCCATTCTGAAATAACGTCTACAATCACACGAGACGAAGCTATAAAAATATATTCCCTACATGACAGCGGCACATGCCAAAATATGTAGTATCATTTTGGTCGGAAGGTTTTAGAATTCGGGTGTCAACTCACACATTAAAAGAAGTACGTGTTGGCATAACCATAGCAACGGAGATAAAATGTCGAAATGCGGCAGAGCACACTTGCCATAAATAGGTGTTATGTTACCAATCTCCTCCGCAGAGGCTTTGTGTTTTGTTTTGGGTTTTTTCGAAATTTTCCCCTATGTAATGTAATGTAATGTAATGTAATGTAATGTAAAACTTTATTTCAATACGCTAACTTCGACAATTATTTACAACTGGTTTCCACGAAGGGCGTATACACACAAAGAGCTAAATGTTAATTATATATAGAACAAAATATGTAAGAATCCCACCCTAAAATATTATCATCTTCCTCCCAAACCTCCACCCCTAAACAAGTACCCACCCACCCTCACGCAAAACTAACCCCCCTCCCGCCCACAATCTATATTGTCCTCCCATCATTTGGTCCTGGAGAAATTAGCTTATCATCTGCTTAAATGCTTAAATATTATTATTATTTTTGTTATGTTACGGTAATATATAAACCTTAATAGGGAGTGATTTGATCTTTAATTTACGATTAGAAATTTTGACTCCGCGTTTTACAAATTTTGACTCCGCGTTTTACAAATTTTGACTCCGCGTTTTACAAATTTTGACTCCGCGTTTTACAAATTTTGACTCCGCGTTTTACAAATTTTTGACTCCGCGTTTTACAAATTTTTGACTCCGCGTTTTACAAATCCACTCCACTCCGCGTTTTACAAATCCACTCCACTCCGCGTTTTACAACATGCCCCACTGTTCATTTCAGACACTGAACACAATATTTCACAGTGACATTCATTCAATCATTATTCATATTAAAAACAGTTTGTTTTTGTTTTGTGGACGCGACACCAGCAATAAATATTTTCCAGTCGATATAAGTATATTTGAATTCAAGGTTGATGAATCGCTGACTATAATTGCAGGCCACATTAAGGAGCAATCTCCAAAACTCTTAGGTCTACTGTTTAGATTTGGTAAATGTATACCGAATAGTGCGCTGAAACAAATGCATGAAGCTTTAATTCTGTCCAAATTAAACTACTGCTGTTCAGTTTGGGGTCTGCTCTTAATCAAGAGTCGTTAAACCATTTACAAGTAATGCAAAATAAAACATCCAGATTAGTCTTGGACTCTTGGGACGTACATGTATCAAGTTAATGATATTTCGAGGAAAAGCTTGCACATTGAAATCGGGTGGCACTGCATGGTTAAAGGCCGTTTTCGACTAGGCGGAATTTTCCGCGCGGAGCAGAATTTCTCTTTGACTTGTGATTTCTCGATCGGGTGGAACTAACTAGAAAAGACAAAGACAAATTCCGCTCCGCGCGGAAAATTCCGCCTATAGTGGAAAACGGCCTTGACGGTAAAACAAATTATCTATGTGAGAACTTTAATGCAAGATGATTACTAAAGGCAAACCGAACTGTGTGTTTCAGCATATCAAGCCAGCCGGAAATATCCGATATAGTTATTGAACACGATTTTCTATATTAACGCCGTATTCTAAAAGCTCACTCACACTCACACTCAATGAGTGGAGGTTCAATCTGAGCTTTTCTTGAGTGTCAATGCTGTTTTTGAATGGCTGGAAGGTTAGTGTCGTACCTTACTATGTGACCACTCACCCTCCAGCTATTCAGAAACAGCATTGACACTCAAGAAAAGCTCAGATTGAACCTCCACTCATTGAGTGAGTGTGAGTGAGCTTTTAGAGTACGGGCGTAAGTCTAAGAAAGATAATCGTAGGATAAATATTAATGCCCAGCATAAAACACGTAAAAGAACCATAACAAAAATATAGTTTAAAATATTTATTAGAAAGCTAACGTTTCGTCTTTAACTTAAGACATCTTCAGAGCAATGACATACAAAGCGGAAAACACAGAAATGTGAATAAATTACAACTATTTACAAGATATTATATCACAAAGGTAGAAAGAGGAATGGTAATATAATATCTTTATCATATAATATCTTGTAAATAGTTGTAATTTACTCATATTTCTGTGTTTTCCGCTTTGTATGTCATTGCTCTGAAGATGTCTTAAGTTAAAGACGAAACGTTAGCTTTCTAATAAATATTTTAAACTATATTTTTGTTATGGCTCTTTTACGTGTTTTATGCTGGGCATTAATATTTATCCTAAGATTACGATTTCCGCCTGGTTCATCTATCGCAAGTATTAAGAAAGATAACTTATTAATTAGCTGTATTATTAGTATACGTAGGTCGCATAATTTCGAAAACGGGTCTTAAAACATCAACTAAAGTTAGAAGTTCACTGAAAATGCCATAATTAAGCCCACTTCATTCGTGCAATGTTCTACAAATACAAAGAAACGGCGTCGACTACCGTTAAATTCTAAAACCAACGCCCTTGTTTTTGTTGTCATCTTCTACATGAGCCAATGATGCAAAATGAATCTGTCAGTGGTACAATACTACAATAAGTTTTTGAAATGTCATGTCAATTTCAAGGAACAACATTTCATTATAACTATAAACTTAGAACTTCCATCATCCAATAATCACCATCAAGCTTGATCATGAATTTGAAATAAAGTCGAAAATTTACAGTATCCAAAACTCTTCTTGTTTTATTTCGAGATGACTGTGTTTCTCAAAAACTGCTGTCAAGCTCGGATAGTTTGTATATTAAAGAGGTACTGAGAGTTCATGTCATGCAAGGCCGTCTGAGCAACATGTCATTGGGGGTAGGGGAGGAGGGGTGAATACAAAACATCGGACCCTTTCAACGTGTCATTGGACAGCTTTAGCAAACACAACGCGACGTCGACGAGGACGTGAAAATGACGTCATACAGCTCGCGTTTACTTCCGGTTTGAATCTGCGTCTTTCGAAGCAAATTTCATGGGGGTTTTTTCGCCGCTTGCATATTTCTTTATCGTTTTCAATTATTTGTCACGGTATGTGCAAGAAATGGCCGAGACTTTTCTGAAGATTTTCTATGAACATTCAACATGTCAAGTTCTTTTCGAAAACTAACTGGAATATATTTTGTTGTTTTTGAATAAAATATATTAAAAAAGACACTCTGTATAATTTTATTGAGTCAAAATTAATTAAAATAATTTAATTATTCTATATTCCTACTTTTTTCTTCAATTTAAAAAGTCTTGTTGTAATTCAGTTTTAAAATGGTTGAAAAAAGTCTTGTTGTTGCTTAAAAATGTGTCTTTTGGTCAGAAATAGAAGCAGTGTTGAAATGGTCAACAATGCTTGCAAGTTTTGTTGTTTTGTTATAGCGATGAAATAACTTCGCTTAAATTGCTTACATTAGGAATCGCAAGAGTGGAGGGCAGATAGCCTAACAACCTGACAAGGCCCGGACCAAAAATAATATTCGGAACAGAACCCTATTGAATTTGTATAGGGCTATGAAAGAACCCTATCAAATATAGCACTGTTAAAGTGGTCCTAGGGAAAATTAACTCCACAAGTTCCATACTGAGGCGTGCTTCCTGAAATTAAGATCTTTCATTTGGGTCCAGACAAATTCGGCCCCTTCGATCGTGACTTTTCTTTGGGGGATATTACAATCCCCCCGCGCGCACACACACACATACCAGCCGTACCCGGCCTTTAAAAGGATCCAACATCCGTTATATAGAATAACCTGACGTGTCATCATTTCCAAGGACTGCTGTTCAGTTCATGATCAGGTACTTAACTTAGTAATTCTTCACAAATGACAATGAAGGCGGAACTAAGAGCAAATGCAATCAAGAAAATTATGTTACATTAAGCATCGTATCAAAGTTATGAATTCACTGAAGCAGATATTTAATTGAGTCTATTGTAATCATACATTGCTCGGCAAATGCAAAAAAGTGAAGTGGAGTTCAATTAGTTTAAAAGCTTACGATATTTCTTTCGTTTTCGTTATCCTAAACATCTTCTGCACGAGAGAACAAAACAAAATGAATCAACCAGTAGAACCGGAAGAGTTTGGAATATCATGTCAAATCCTGGGAAAAACACATTTCATTATAACCAAACTTCCATCTAATAACTTGTTAATAAATCATCTTTTCGCTATTGCTTTGAATGGTATTTTGATCATTCCTACGATATTACTCAACGCTATTGCAATAATAACGATATTAAAATCTTCTCAACTGAACAGCAAGCCTTGTTATTATATCATTCTTGTTCAGTCTGTGACTGACTTGGCAGTTGGCGTTTCAGGCATTCCTATATTTCTCGTCTTTTTGGCGAGCGGAATAGGAAAATTTTCAAACTGCATTGTAGCAACTTTAGCGTACAAATCAACGCTAATTTCAATGGAAGTTTCTACTATTACATTATCTGCTATGACATTGGAAAGATATATTGCCATCATACATCCCTATGCTTACACTACTAAAGTGACAAAGAAGAGGCTATTGATATATGTAAGTTCAAATACTGCGGTGGCATTTTCTGTTATCATTCTATCTTTTGCAATTCATGAACTGATGGTATATTATGCAACATTATACGTCATGCTTGTTTTCTTCTTCACCGCATTTGCTTACACAAGAATATACTTAGTCGCAAGGAAGTTGGCTCGTTCGCAAAACAAACTGCAGGATGCTGCTGGAGAAAAGAACATGACAAGAAAGAAGTTGTTTCTTCGAGAAATTAAACTAGCAAAATCTTGTTTTATTGTTGTCGTATGTTTCTTTCTTCTCTGTTTCTTGCCAATAACGTTTGTATTTCCTTTTGAGGCATACCTCGATCAATTTGAATATCTAGCATTTCTAATCTGGATTGGTACTCTTGGTCTGTTAAACTCCAGTGTTAACTCGGTGATATTCTTTTGGACCAAGACGATGTTGAGAAAGCAAGCTGTCAAGATGATAACTACAGCATGGGCTTATGCAATATATTAAATACCATTGTTCCCATTACTAAGACATAACACTTTGTAACAATTTCCGACTCTTGAAAGTTGAAATAACATTTTGTGTTGTTTTTCTTGTTTACAACTAGTTTTGCCTAGACTTGCCACAAGTCGACCATGGCCATGGGGGAGGGAGGGCGCGGGGAGGGAGGGCGCGGGGGAGGGAGCACGCGACCCGAGCGACGAAGTCGCGAGTGGTCGACTTGTGTTCCTTGCAGGAGTTTAAATCGCATTAAAAATTTTGGCGCGAATAATTTTGACACAAAAGGGGTGTGTGCATTTCATACAATTACTTCACCGCGCTGACAATGGGTCTACAAAATTAACACAAAAACATTCTCAAGAATTGATATTTCTTTGTCGTCGAATGAAACAGTTTGCACCAAGTGTGGAAACGAAATAACTGACCCAAGTAAGAGCCGAAATCTATGGTTCAATGTATCAACAAAAACAAGTGCATGTAAAAACTTATTGAATCTGGACAGTTGTTTGTCTAACAATGTGTGCCGTAATTGTGTCGACAAGAATAGTAATTTATTAGACTTATTTATAGAAAGTTGATTCAGTTCGCCAGCGATTTAACGTAGTCGTAGTAGAAGTTAATAATCTAATTGAAAATAATCAGACAGCTGTATTAACCAAGAAGCAGAAAGGCGGCGATTGTGATCAACGAGAAGACGTCGCTAGAGTTCAAAATCCAGTAAAAATACGAGTTGTTTTCTCAACAAACGAATTTGTAATAATCAGTAATCGAGATCAAGAAACCCAAACTAAATCCGAAACTAGTGAGAAAATTTTAGAATCATCAGATGCATCTTCGATGACAGTATTAAAGTTTATTTTTACACTCTGTACTTTATATTCAATGTAACGTTTGTTTGTGTATTTTCACATCGTTTTTGTATTCTACAAAATTGTATTTACATTGTTTACTCTGTTTGCTTCAATAATACACATTTGTTCAACAAAAAAGCCTGAGAATATAATATTATTTTTAGACTCCTTCGATATATAAAATGACCGATGATGTAACCGCTTCGGCCTTCAATGTAAACAATGACGTCACCGGTGGATTTTTCCACCGGTGATATTTGGCGCGCTGCAAGTGACAAAAGTCCTTTCCACAGCGGAAGTGAAGCGCGCCATAGAAGGGTCTGGAAAGGACTTTGCAAAGTCCAAATTTTGCCCTGAATTAAGAAAAAATGCCCTCATTATTAGCCAGTCATATTTGAGTAATTTTGCCCTCTATATGATTAGGAACAGAACCATATTAAATTTGTATGGGCTCTCCTTCACGTCCCTGCGGTATAGGACCCTATAAGCTATAACATTGCCACAGGGGCTCTAGACCACAGAGGAAATTTGGCACTAGAGAGTTTGAGCTTCGCGTTATACGTCAAACGGCAAACGCAAAGAAACATTTTACAGCATCAGGCAATAAAGAGTAAATGAACTTGCTGTTTTAAAACTGAAATACATAATTATTCTTTCGATGCAAGAAAGAAAATATGAAATGCTATGCGTATCATGCATAAATTACGCAATGAACTAATTACGCATTCAGTTTCCTCTTACTGCGAAAGCAAGACAAATGTTTCTAATTTCTCATCCAATTTTCATCTGTAGTGAACTAAAAAGCATTCGAACGATGTGTCCTTAAATACCTTTAATTAACAGACAAACACACATGCACACACAATCTGCTGGTGCAGGTAAAAATATATTATCGAATTTTTCCATAGAAATCCATATTCACATTTTTCTCACTCTTCAAGCATTTTTACAACGGTTGAAAAGTCAATATCCTGTAGATATAGCGCTATCGGACCCTCTTACAAACTATAACCCAGGTCTATAGAATTTGAAAATGATTATATATTGCATAAAATCAAAAAAAAAAATTAAACGTTCATGTAAAATATTGAATTTCATGTTGCATTAACATTTCTATACCAAACTATATTTTGAATTTTCCATGTCATTCACTTCGGAACCACCACCTGTCTTATATAATGTCTCCCGCCCATCATTCTTAAGCCCTGCTGTCCAGTTCACATAGTTAATATTCTTATATTTCACAAATGATAATGCGGGCAGTACTAAGGCAAGTGCAATGGACTTATATAAAAATAATATCAATAAAAATTAAAATCTCACTGAAGCTGATATTTAATTGAGCCCATTCTATTCATTGTTCTGCAAATACAAAGAAGTGACGTGGAGTTAGATTAATTTAAAAGCTTGTTTCGCACTGGAGAACAAAACAAAATGAATCTCTCAGTTGAACAGGAAGAGTTTGGAATCTCATGTCAAGTCCTGGGAAAAACACATTTCATTATAACCGAACTTCCATCCAATAAATTTTTAATGAATCATACTTTCGCCATGGCTTTGAATAGTATTTTGATCATTCCTACGATATTACTCAACGCTATTGCAATAATAACAATATTGAAATTTTCCCAACTGAACAGCAAGCCTTGTTATTTTATCATTCTTGTTCAATCCGTGATTGACTTGGCAGTTGGTGTTTTTGGCTTTCCTCTATTTCTCGTCTTTCTGGCGAGCGGAATAGGAAAATTTTCAAACTGCATTGTAGCAACTTTAGCATTCCAAACAACAACAATTCCAGTCGGAATATCCACTATCACATTATCTGCTATGACATTGGAAAGATATATTGCCATCTTACATCCCTATGCTTACAGTGCTAAAGTGACAAAGAAGAGGCTATTGATATATGTAGGCTCCGGTGCTGTGATGTTATTTTCTCTCTTCTTTCCATCTCTTGTAATTCAAAAACTGATTGCAGTGTATGGAACAATAAGCATAACGCTTGTTTTCTTCTTCACTGTATTTGCTTACACAAGAATATACTTGGTCGCAAGGAAGTTGGCTCGTTCGCAAAACCAACTACATGATGCTGCCGGAAAAGAAAACATAACAAGAAAGAAGTTGTTTTTTCGAGAAATTAAACTAGCAAAATCTTGTTTTATTGTTGTCGTATGTTTCTGTATTCTTTGTTTCCTACCAACAGCGTTTCTAGTTACCTTTTACAAATATCTCGACAAATTTGAATATCTCGTATTTCTAATCTGGATTGGTACTCTTAGTCTGTTAAACTCCAGTGTTAACTCGCTGATATTCTTTTGGACCAAGACGATGTTGAGAAAACAAGCGGTTAAGATGATAAACAGCATGTCAGCATAAGCAAACTATTAAATACCATTGTTCCCATTACTAAGACATATTACTTTGTAAACAATTTCCGACTCTTGAAATAACATTTAGTGTTGTTTTTCTTGCTTGCTCTTGTCAATAAAGTATTTACGACTACATGCACGTTTCTAACTTCTTCTATAATTAATGTCCATCAAGAATTGGTCTCACTAATTGAAAATTTTAAACAAAATTGGGTATTCGGAGCAATGGCTCTACAGAACTCCAGGTTATACAGGGTGTATCAAAAAAAGTAAGACAATTTTGAAATTGCTCTCAATTTCACAATTCTGTTCATGAAATGTAATTTTTTATATGTATGGATTGCTTGAGTTCTTAAATTATGGAAAATATAAAAAAAATTGAAAATAGTAAATTTTGCTATCCAGGGGGGTGGTCAACTTTTGCTCTCTTGAAAGTGGCTTGCGCACGGAAATGTATTCGCACGTGAAGGGCATCGTACATCTGGATATTCTTTCGTGAAACTTTGGCGAATCAAGTTTATGTTGTTGCTACGGAGGAACTCTGATATCATGCATAAAAGCTCTCTGCTGCGGGGTAAATTGTGGCATCGCCATTTCAAAGTGTACGGGGTATTATACGAGAGAATGCGTTTCAGCACAAACAACTCGAAAGAACAAATTCCATGGAAATTCCACGGAACTCTCATGGGAGTAAAAATGAATTCATAATGAAGCAAGAACAGCACCAACAGAGAAAAATGTAACGTTTTCATAGGCTTTTCGGAGGATTTGTACTCGGTAAAATCCTGCCGAAATTTTATCATAAATGCAACAAATAGCGAACTTTTCATACATGAACTCAAATAAAGAATACCGTTTGTCATTTCCGTGCGCAAACCACTTTTAGGGGAGCAAAAGTTGACCACCCCCTATCTCACAAACAGAAACCAGAAGTGCCAAATAAAAAACTCATTTTCATCTGAGCGCTTGATTAAATGTGGTGTACCACAAGGCTCTATATTAGGGCCATTATTCTTTTTGTTGTACATCAATGATTTGCCACATTGTCTAAACAAAACAAAACCGCGGTTGTTTGCTGATGACACAAATTTGACTGCTTCAGCAAATTCTATGACTGACCTAGCGACTGCAGTAAATTCTGATTTAGAGAACCTTAGAAAATGGTTAATAGCCAATAAACTTAGCCTCAATGTAGCTAAGACAGAGTTTATGTTGATTGGCTCTAAACCTATGATCAAAAATATTTCTGATTCTTGCCCCAATGTTTACATTGAAAATATACAAATTAAACAAGTTCATGAATGCAAAACTCTAGGAGTAACAATTGACCAGCATTTATCTTGGAAAAGTAATACCGAAAATATTTGCAAAAAAGTTACAGCAGGAATCTCTGCTATTCGTCGGATCAAACCATTTGTTGATCAAGATACACTTATTTTGATATATAACACCATTGTTCGTCCGTACTTTGACTACTGCTGTGAAGTATGGGATGTATTTGGCGAAACTCAATCAAAACGACTGCAAAAACTGCAAAATAGAGCGGCAAGAATTATTCTGAATATAAGTAATGACGTAGATTATACGATTGCGTTACGTACTTTGGGCTGGGAGCTACTCCAAACTGAAAGGAAGAAAACTAAAGCAAGAATGATGTATAAGTTATTAAACAAAATGGGCCCAAAATCACTCACAAATCTATTTTCGTTTAAGAGTGAGAAAACTAATTACCACCTTCGGGATGTCTCAAGTGGTCTTTATTTACCAAAACCACGTAAAAATAGCATGAAAAATAGTTTTATGTACGACGGAGCAAACATTTGGAATTCTATACCAAAAGAAATTAGGGAAAGCAAGTCACTTTCTTCCTTTCGAAATAAAATCGCTGCTCACATTAGTGCTTGGTAACCTTTGTAAATATAACTTACCTATAAATAGCTCAAAACATTTGTTATATCTTTTAAATTTATATATTACTGTAATAGCTTAGCTTATCCTTATCATATTCTGCATGTAAAATAATTTTCTGGCACACGCCCCCCGTGGAAATCAGCTACGGTTGACGGGGTCAGCGTGGATAAATAAAGTTCTACTACTACTACCACCCCCCTGGATAGCAAAATTTACTATTTTCAAAATTTTTTATATTTTCCATAATTTAAGAACTCAAGCAATCCATATATAGCAAAAATTACATTTCATGAACAGAATTGTGGAATTGAGAGCAATTTCAAAATTGTCTTACTTTTTTTGATACACCCTGTAGAGTGGTGATAATTTTATATATTTAGCCCGCATAGCAATATGGGCCGCCCACGCCAGCGCGCTTGCTCTTGGGGTTACTAACTTACTATTTAAAATGAAAGGAAGGAGACATATAAAGGGTGTATCAAAAAAAGCGCAATCCTCGACTGAAATGTAAATTGCTAAACAAATAATAGGCGAAAACGTTAAAGTTTACATTCATTTTAAAGCGTAGCCATTCAGCTTTCTAACAGTGGGTTGTTTCTTAAATTTGACTCATTGGTTCGCGGGTAATAATACTTTACGTTATTGCGATTGGAGATTAAAAAAATTGAGATGGAAAAACAAATCGTTCTCATGAAAATAACTGATTTTTTCATTACACCCGTTTTCAAAATTACGCGACCAAAGATGAAAATGCTAGAGTTGACATGTCAGTTTTATGTCATTCGATCACGAAGTTCAAATTTTGAGTTTTGCGGTTCCTTGTCGATGTATATGCTTTGTATGCTTCATATAAACAGACTTACAATGATTTTCAAGATATTTTAGTGAGAATTATTGTAAAATTTAAGCACGACAAAATCATAACATCACCGTTATAGTCAAGCGCGCGTGTTTTATACTGACAGCTATATTCCAGGATAAATTGTTATTTTTCAAACTTTAAAAGTCATTCACGGCACATATATTTTATGTTGTGATGGTTTGTATTGTGCTTTAGTTTGTATATCTAAGTTATCTGACTCATTTTTGTTCAGTTTTGGTATTAAATACGGTTTAAAATGTCTTTAGACAGTTTGTTTACGTTTGCTATTTTTAGCAGTTCTTGTGACATAAAACTGACATTTGAAGTAGGAGTATTTCGGCAGGGAGGTCGCGTAATTTTGAAAACGGGTGTAAAACAAAAAATGTTGCATTTTATTAAATGGATTGTAACAATAAGTATAATTACGGCTTTTCTTCCACTATTTTTAACTCAGTTTGAAACTTCAAATGCGATATAATTTTGGCTTGGACCATCTAAGCTGACTGACATCAGCTTGCTATAATTTCTGTTTACATTTCATCGCAATTCGATGACACTCTGGCTCAGACACCAGAATGTTTTGATTCTATGATTTTTAGCATTCGTTTAG